ACAGACTACAGTTCATGGTTTCATGGAAAAAGAAAAAACGTAGAAGTAAAAAAACCAAAAAAGTTAATATTAAGAAATGAAAAAATAGAAAAAATAAAGACAAATTTAGGTTTTAGGTAACCTCAGTAGTCTCGTCCCTCTCTCCTCCCTCCCTTGATGACTCCACGAGGTAACTCTGGATTCGATTGTATCAAGCAGCAGCACCTCCAACCAAATGCAACCAGCCAAGGTAGGGCCCACGTAAGGCAGGACTTGAAGTGTCATATCACAAGGCCCAGGGCCACGAGGGAATCAATGGAACCAGAACTTTTGTTCGATTGTGATCCTATGACTATTTTGATGTGACTTAGGGTTCCTGTACTTTTGGATGCACCTGATTACTGTTTTTTTTTTTCAGTCTGAAATCTTAATGGGAATATGGAAGCTTCGTTGAGTCTTTTTATCTTGTGCAGATTCTCCCGGTCTTTTGAAATTGAGCCTTTTCCTGATTTCAAAGGGACAGATAGAGAAGGTTAAAGTTGGTGGTGTGTGGAAGTTGTTTTACTGGAATAAAAATTATAAAAGCAAAAGGGGTCTCGTTTTCAAGGTGTCTTTGCTTTCTGGTAAAGCCTTTTAACATTTTCCATGGGATGTACCAGTGGTTGTTAGCTTTTGTTTTCCAAGGTTCTGTTTCCCCCTTTTGGTCCCTCTTCTTGGGCCTTTCTCATTCGCCTCTCCTTTGCTATAAAACTACTACTCCAGAATTGGGGTCCACAACAGTGAGCGGGCATATGATATCAAGATCAATTTCCCAGGTTTTATATTTCATTGTCAAAATTATGAATGTAATGGAGTTAAGTATTGCATAACCACATAGTAGGCGAGTAACTACAATCATGCAACCTTTGCTTAAAAGTTTTGATTCATTAGTGGGATGCATATGATACGCTTTCAACTGTGCTTATATAAAAATATACACTTCCTAACAAGAACATCTCTAAGACTCCAACAACTGTATGGGCAACTTGTTTCTTAATGCTGCAACTATGCTTTGATGAACAGATATCCCACCATTTTCTTAAAATAGTATACTAGCTAACATTAGACTAGTGGTTGCTGTTCTTGACCCACCATACGTACCTTAAAAAGGCCGACCCACCATGGTCCATGGCCTTCGCTTATTTGTTACCTCAACTATATCTCATTATGGGACAAATAGCTAGCACATGATTCTACTCGCTCATAAATGGGAAAAGAAAATAACAAGTTTGGTTTTGAACTATTTTAAGTGGCACCCAATCTTGTACTCGGAAAATAACATGTTTCATTTTTCAACTATTTTGATTTGCCAATGATCAATTGGTAAAGTGGCACTCAATCTTAATTATTTTGTCGAAGTTCGTGAGTTCAAATCTCATAATCCATTGTTGGTGGATAAAAAGACTAATTTGTTTTTTATCTTGTTCAAAATTTGCAGTGGATCTTCAATCTCAAGGAGTTTTGACCCAAATTCTTCTTCGAGCACTCCAAACTCTTCTTCAGCCCAATTACTCTAATTTGGGCCTAAAATCTCCAACACCCCATAACCCAGACAAAAACAAATCCTGTGATGCATTTGGATTTGCCTTTTTTTTAAATAAAAAACAAAAAAAAACTCTGGTGTGTGTGTGGATGGAAAATTTACGGTTCCCGAACCGAATTCAACCCTAGAAGAAATTGAATTAAAATATATACGCGGCTGACGAAACAACATATTTAAAGAACATTATTCTCACATACAAATCATCATGTAGAAACCCCAAAGTAAACCAACAAAATAATTCTGTGAATCTTTGTTTTATCGCACCTTAATAATTCAAAATAATATCGTATTTTCTTTACGAAAAAACTAACATAATGTCCAAATGGAGTCAATGATCCCATCCTCTTTTTTCCTTTTGGTTTATGGTAGTGGCAGATGCAAGAATTGCCACTCATAGAGTCATAGTGTAAACTACCCAATATTTTTTTAAGAAGAAAAAAATATTGAAAATGAAACGATATTACTTTCACTCATAATTAATGTCAAAAACAATATTACAAGTTACAAAAGTTACTTGGATTGAATTGTAAACTTTCACAAAAATAGTGGCGGCGACGGGGACGGCTAATAGTGAATGGTAGCTAGCACCCATGGCGGCGGTGGCAAGGGAGGAGGTGGTGGAGGTCTTGGGGAGATTGAGGTTAGGGTTGTTGTTGAGGAGAAATATGAAAATTGGGATTTTGGAGGTGAGTTATGGGGTTTGTGTTGTTTAGAGGAGTCAGCTCCCTTGTTTTTTGTTTTTCTTTTTTAAAGTCCTAGCCCAAAACGATGTCGTTTTGGCTAGGTCATTTAAAATAAATTGTCTTGGCCAAAACGATGTCGTTTTGCCAAGCAGTTAAAAAAAATAAAAAACAAAACCCCAGCTGGCCCACGAAACTTCTTCTTCTCCATGGGGGTCACTTCCATGACTGCCAAGTGAAAAAACCAGACCGTACCACTAAAATTCAGATCTGCCATGGGGTCGTCTGACCCTATTGACCCCATGGTGGATCCGCCACTAGTTTATGGGAACATATACAAATCGCTAATGGTGGTCCATTTCCATTAGATACACAAGCATATCACCATTATTACGAGCAATTACTCACAAAGTGTAGCGTCAAACACCCACTAATTATGTAGATAATGCAAAGTCACTTGAAGATTTGTTGCATTAATTTGGACGGACCAAATATAATAACATTAGTTTACAAAAAGAAATAGCATTTAAACAACAGTTAAGGGCCGGCCCAAAAAAGATCGCAAATAAGAAACAATATTTATAACATGGACAATGGCCACAGGGCCATGGCATCTTATCTTGCTCTGTTTATTGGCTACAAAAGTTTCCATAGACTCACAAACATAATCATAATTAGGAATGAATAATCAGGTATTTCAAATAGGGTTTGTTTAATCTCTTGATTTGGCTGCAAAACACAGCTCCTGAGATTAAGAAGCCAAATCTTCAATCTCTGCCACATACATATTTTAATGTTGTATGTAAAACGGAGATTATATAATATAGTATTAATTCCTGATATCAATGTCTTTACCTACCAACCCCAAAATTTTCTGACTTTTTTTCTCACTTGAGATCCTCTTGAATTGATCAACATATCTCATGCCTCCCCTTAGGGTGTGATGGTCTAGCTACAAGCTACCATAGAAGTCATCAGTCAGACTTGCAATTGGACACGAAAACACTCTTGTATGATATAAATATACTTTAAATAATGATTAAATTTTCATAATACAGAAACAGTGTACGATCATGACATATTTATTTACTTGAAAAGAGAAGTACGAAATCGAAGAGAGCTGCAGTCTTTGGTCATAAACTTGAGGGCTCTTCTGTCTTCATCGTGACCACCACTTCCAAATTCTGTGTGAAAAACCAGTCAAAGTAGGTACGCCAAAATCATTAAAGTATTATGGTGTGTCCATTTTTCTAATTGAAGCAAAAGCTTGACGTGAAGAATTCTCAGAGTGGCTTATATATTTATCAAAATTTAAATATTTTAAAGGCTAAAAGTTAAAACTCCAAGAACACATACAGTCTGTAGCTGCTCAAAAAGAAGACCGAGGTCCAGAAATTAGAACGATCAAATCTAAATCTTATTACTTAAATCACGTAATCTTCGACCCTTTAATTTAATTTATTGCCTTTTCATGTCAAAAAAACTTGATTGGCTTTGCTAGAATCAAAATCTTTGCTGCTTAAATCATGAGATCTTGTGCAGTTTGTGTTCTGCGTTTAGGTTTTGTTTATTATCTTTAATCTCCATTTGGTATGCACATAATCCATCTTAGCTAGTAATTAATCACAGGCCAGCACAGAGAACCCCGCAGGTCCCCACCCATTACTTCGGACCTGGGACCATGTGTAAAGCTTGGTATCATCTGCCAACTGGTTCAACTTAACCAGCATTTTATTTCTTATTTTTGGTTCTTTCATAAGTCAAATTGTTGCTTCAGTCCAAAATTGTGTGTGTTTTTTTTATATAACACAAATAATATTAGAGCAAGGGATTCAAATACAGAATCTCGAGCATAGATTAAATGTTCATAACAATTTGAGTTACACGTTCTTCACATCAAAAATTGAAATTAAGACTGTAAGGTCATGTTTTAGTCACAATCTTTCTTTGGTTGAATTTTAGTCGCAATCATAGAAACCAGAATTTTTGAGATTGAATTCACTTCATGTGTACCAAGGATGATGGACTGTTTGACTAACTTTATACAATGAAAAGGAGCAGACAGGGGCACATTCACCTAAAGGGTACTATTAGCTGTGACATTTTTGACCATTTGTGTAGATTCACCTAATATTTCAAAAATCAGTTGACAAATGCACGCAGAAAATGTGGTAAAACTATACACTTTCCTTTCATATACATGCCCTTTAAGAAAGGATGTCGTTGTTTGTGGAATAATAGTAGTATTCGAAATTTCGAGTGTCTCACATCTCGCAATGTAAATATGACATTTGTGAAGTTTTCTATCTTCACATCGCTTATGTGTTACAAGTGACAAAAAAAGTTATTTCATGAATATACAATCTCTTCTTCTCCATCATCTAGGGAGGTCTTATTATATAATTGGTGACTTAGTTAGCTAGACTAGCTGTAAGTTTTTTTAATATTAATGTTTTCTTTAATTTATACAGATCTGTTGCCATTCTTAAATTCCAAATTGAAGGCAAGGCCAAGGAGGAGGTACAAAAGATGAGGGACATGTATTTCTAAGGAACTTACCTTCCAATAAGACAAACAGCCCTCTCTTGGAACCCACTCACCGCATGCATATGTGTATGTCTCTACTTCTACTTGTCTATAAAACCCTTTCCTTCTTCATTATTCAACATCCATCCAAGACTCTCTCTCTCTCTCTCTCTCTCTCTCTCTCTCTTCTACATTTTGTTTAGGTAGACTTTAGAGCTAGCTACCAGCTAACCATGCCTGCCCAAGTTATGCCTGAAAAAGCCCTCCATGGAATTCATGGGTTGGGAAGGGACAACAATACTTCTGCTCCTCCTCCTAAAAGGTACTTTCTCCTTTAACTCAATTTTTCTCAATTTTACTAAAATGTTACCCAAAATGCATTAATACTTTGCATGAGAACAGTGCCAAAATGCAAAAATTCATTATATCCACTGTTCAAATACATTACAAGACTCACACCAGAAAACCAACTAAACTGTTTGATGAACAAAACTATTTTTCAGGTTGGATGGAAAAGTTGCTATAGTGACAGGCGGTGCTAGAGGCATTGGAGAAGCAACAGTGAGGCTTTTTACAAGGCATGGTGCCAAAGTAATCATTGCCGATGTGGAGGACGCAGTTGGCATACCCCTAGCCAATTCCTTGAGCCCTTCAGTCACCTTCGTTCATTGTGATGTTAGCTTGGAAGAAGACATTGAGAACTTGGTTGAAACAACAATTTCCCGTTACGGGCAGCTCGACATTATGTTCAACAATGCCGGGATCCTCGGAAACCAGTCGAAACACAAGAGCATCATGGATTTCGACACAGACGAATTCGACCAGGTGATGCGGGTGAATGTGAGAGGAGCAGCCTTGGGGATGAAGCATGCTGCAAGAGTGATGGTGCCTAGAGGAAATGGAGGGTGCATAATTTCAACATCAAGTGTGGCTGGGGTGGCAGGTGGGCTTGGGCCGCATGCCTATACAGCCTCAAAGCATGCCATTGTTGGGCTCACAAAGAACGCAGCTTGTGAATTGGGTCGGCACGGGATTAGGGTAAATTGCATTTCTCCATTTGGGGTTGCCACGTCAATGCTTGTGAACGCTTGGAGGACGAGCGGTGATGATGAGGAAGAAGAAGAATGCATGGATTTGGGGATGCCTTGTGAGCAAGAAGTAGAGAAAATGGAGGACTTTGTGAGGGGACTTGCCAATTTGAAAGGGCAAACCCTAAGGGCTAAAGACATAGCTGAGGCTGCTCTTTATCTTGCTAGTGATGAATCCAAGTATGTTAGTGGCCATAACCTTGTTGTGGACGGTGGAATTACCACCTCAAGAAATTGTGTTGGCTTGTAGGTTTTTTTTTCCCTTCCCATTTCATGGTGTTGGTGTTTTGTACATGCATAGATCACCAAAAGGTTTGCCATTTGTGTTTGTTTTTGTAATAGGTTTCGTTTTTCAATTCAATATTAATCCGAATTTTCAAGTGTAAATTTTTCTTCCGGTGTCAAGTTAATGAGTCTATAGGTATCTATTAGTTAAGTATAGATATATAGTTTTATATTTAATCTTCAACACTGTAGTGCATTTTTCAACTTTTTTTTAAAAGTGAGAATGAATGTTAAATTTAAATGTTTACACGTGTGTACGTAATTATTGATTGATATAAATTTTATTCTAAAACACCTAAATAAAAAAATGTAAATTTGGAGTACACTGTGAATAGCTCATCTTTGTTTGATTACGGTCAAATAAAAAGTCTAGCATAACAAATTTTGCGAATCACCAATTCTCCAAACAAAACTCTCAACTATATTAAAACAATTAAGCATCATTAACTCTATAGTCTGCTAATGGAATAGGGTTCGCTATTGCAGTAACCACTAGCCATCCACTAGCATTACTTTTTAGGATTTGAACATAGAAGAAGAATATGGGTTAGAGCCTAAAAGGGAAGATGCACATTGGTGTATCGAAAGATGTTTGGTCATGGTTTTGACATCTAAACAAGAGCTGCACATTTGACCCAATGAAACTAACCCCACGCAAATTGAAAAATCAAGGTCTTTGATTCTGAAAGAGAAAGTAGGAGAAAAAAGACAGGCAGGAAAGTTTGACTAAGTACATGAAATCTGTAGCCTCCATATATGCTTTAGCCCAAAGTTCGATGTCAAATGTTTGTTTAAGAAAACTCTGACTCTAATGTTGCTATTTCTTCTCTCTCTGCCGACAAAGACAAGTTACTCTGTTCGGGAATAATTAGAATTAAACGATTAATGAAAATAAATGACTTTGAGTTCGATCCAAAAAATAGAAACTATTTAACCAAAGTGGTTGGTGTGAGTGGTTCAGCACTCTCATTTCTTAAGAGAAGGTCAATGGTTCGACTCCTGTTCTCGTATGGAGTCACCACTTTGGTCAGCACTTTACCCCTTACGGGTCGACCCAGTGTGAGCGGGGATTAGTCTGAGTTGTGATTAAAGCTTAAAGGTGCCACCTATAGTTGAGGCCCATCCAGGACTACCTCGTGGTTTAAAAAAAAAAAAAAAAAAAAAAAAAATATTTTACTTATACAAAACAATATTCTAATTATTCTAATCCAATTCATATGAAGGAGATTTTGTATTTGAAAGAGCCGAACACAATGTATTAACCAATTGACCTAACTTATTTATTGAAACAAACACACGAGTAATGAGAATAATTAGAAGTATTAATTGAAGGATAATTGGAATTCCTTTGCCGGATTCCCATTCCCACTATAGGGTTTGATACTCCACGGAATCCACGTGGATGCTATATAAAGGAGCATACTATCATACTCAGCATCTGCACATATACCCATTTCAGAAAGAAACACTGCCTCTCTCTCTCAAAACTAGCTTCCTTTCAGAGCTATGGAGAAATAATAAATTCCCGAAAGGTGATTCTGAACAGTTCAATCAAACCTTGGAAATCAACATTTGATCAGAAAAATAAGATTTTGGAAGCTGTCAATGTTCAAACATTACCACATAATGAGTTGTAAATTTCTGTCTTCTTTCTTCCTTTGTTCAACTATCTAGGACTAAATTAAACCCACTGGCCTCCCACTTGTTTCTTTATTTTATCTCTCAACCCAACAAAAAAAAGGAAAAAAAAGTTGATAGGTAATGAGATGCAACCACTGAATAGGTTGAGTGCCTATCCATTGTAAAAGTTCTAACCCACAACTTGTGTTTAATTAATTATAATTATAAGTTTTTAGTCATCTTAATTAATTATGTACAAAGGTAGGAAGGGAGACTGATGCATTGCCCCTAGCGTCTTGGAGTGGCATGTCACCAATATATAATGTACATAAACTAAGCTAAAATAGTACAGAAATTGAACCGAACATGGGCAGAGGTCTTTTGTTTAAATGTATAGGACTGGACAGAAATGGCAGCTTTTGCTTAAAGGACACAAATTCAGTCCAATTTTTTTAAATCTACCTGGCATAGCTTTTGCTTAAAGGACACAAATTTACACCACAAAAAATGAAGAGCTTGAAGAAATGTGATGGATGATTTATTTATGAGGTAGTTTATGCAACAGTCAACTCAAACTTAGCTCAATGTATAGCAACTAACTAGGCCTCAACTAGCTCAGTACATACATACTATTGGGCTGAATTTGGGGCACGTTTCAAATTATCGGCTAACAAAATCTGCCTTGTGCATGTCTATTGACAGACTATTGATGATGTGAGAAATAATCAAACAATTGCTTCTCAAATGACAAATAGATGAGGTAAACATACTTATATTTAGGAGACGGTTTTCATCATCCGATAAAGCATTGTGAGATTTAGATACATTAATGATTGACCATATACTTACATTGGGTGGAATGCCATTAACAGTTTTGGCTCTTATATATCCGTAGTTGGGAGTCGGCGTTTCTTGATAAAGTATTCAAAAATTCACATGAATCAACAAAATTCACATAAATCATTGATGTATGACGCATTCAAATAAATCAACGTTTAATAATGGTATCGTGCGGGTTAGTGTGGGACAAATGTGAACTCATTTTGGACCGTCCATGAAGGCAGCTGTACAAGGTAGTTGGAAGAATTTAGTTGAACTGTGCATCCACTTTGGAATTGGACCAAATATGAACAATAATGCAAAATTTTGAAAATGGGGTTCGGTTTTATGTTATCCTGCCAACCCCACAACTTCACAAGTCTCAAAGCCACGTACAAACACACGCATCCACTGTGCCATGATTCTATGGAGAGGGGGTAGACTTTTGCAGACAGAGTGAGTGACTCAGAAAGGAGGGGAAACTAATTTGAGGACTACAACAACTATTATTGAAGTTTAAGGACGAAACTGTAACTCAGAATATAATTAAAGAACTATTACTATAATTTAGCCAAATAAATAAATAACATCATATAAAATAAAACAAGGTTATAATTTGGGGGCAATCTTAAAATTGTGCCCCTGAATGTCATACAACAAGTTGGAAAATGATTTCATGTGCTCAGATGGCAGAGAAATCATGAGAGATAAATTCCCACCATTACTTGCACTTGGTAACAACAAACACATCCCGTCAAATAATGCAGCAGTCCCCATGAAAATGGGTCGACCCCATCCAAAATCAGCATCGTAAATCGGTAGCCTAATCCAACTGTTTATCCGGAGATTGGGGCACCTAAATGAAAGAGGCCCCATAACAAGTGGGGAAGCACGAGGACGACGAAGCTCAAGATAGTCAAGGGCTGATATGAGATAATCATCGTCAATCTGCCCCAAAGCATTGTGACCACAGCTTGCAGCATACCACAATGGTAGCAATTGGTGCGGCTCTGAAAACGACATTGCCAAAGAAGCCAGGTGGGAGTGGGGGTTGCAATTTGGACCCTCCATTGACGGGAATGAATACTTTGGTGTCTTTATCATCCGCAAGTTTACGTGCCTTGCAAGCACATCTCCAGATATGACCTGCCAACATCTCAAATGAGCTATACTTTGTATTATCAATGTTGCTCCCACTATTTTCCTTAGACTTGGCTTTCAAAATGTTGAGCTGCTCTCGCGTAAATCTAAAAATGGACGCAATAGTATATTTATGTTTTTCAGATGATGAGAAGGTAATTTCATTTGGGGAGAAGGTTGATATTCAATGCGGGGGAATGTAGGCTGGCTGAGGTGGGTTTCGGGCACCAAGTAACGTCCTGTCCATGAAGGGTTGAGTAATATTTGTGAGATCACCACGAGCGATATCAGACCATGTATTTACAAAATGCATATTGGAAACTCCATCTGCTATACGGTGGTCCATGCCAACACCAAGTGACACTCCACCACATTGAAAGTGCGTCACCTGTACCTGTAACACCAATATGGGATATGAGGATATCCCACCGGAGTAATCAAAGGCGGGGATGAGGGTACGAAAATCGGAAGGGGGCGCAAAATCGCCAAAATCATCCAAGGCACAGTTGCTCTCCGCCACAACAAAGAGCACCCCTTGTAAATTGCAATCAATCTCCAGACGGCCGTTGTGGTGGTTGAGCTTGAAGCAACCGGCCATTGGGTAGAAGGGCACGAGGGCTTTGCTGAGCGCCTGATTGAGAAGTCCCGAGTTAAAGAAGTTGAGGTCACTACTTGCACTTGGTCTGTAAAAATAAACAGTGGACGCGTGAAAGTTATTAAATGCTAGATCCGAGTTGGAGAGCCACAGCGACCCCCTGAGGGGTCGTCGACTCCTCAGCTGGCCTGACCACCGCGGACTCCCTTATGCTCACAACAATCACCTTCTCCGCCATCTTCTCTTTTTCTGTTTCTTCTTTTTCTTTCTTTCTTTGGTTTGTATGAGGGTCACATCACATGCTGCCTTTTTTCACAAAAAGACGTTGATAGTGGCAGGCAGTGTGGGGTATAAAAACTACAATTATTTGACAAGACAAACAAAAGTAGATATAATTTACAACAGTAGGTATGCTTTTGGGTCTGAAATTATGGAGAACAGCCGGAGATGATGTGGACTGGACAGAAATTTGATCTAGGATTGAGAGAGGCAGCTTCAAGCCCAATAGGGTGGACTGCCAAGCCAAGGTTTAAATGGGCTGCTGCAGCATATGGACAATTCAGTCCAACTTAGCTCAATGTAATGTATAGTTAGCTAGGACTCAACTAGCTCAGTACATAAATCCACCAAGCACGGGGGCGTATATTGGGCTGAATTTGTCCATGTCTGTTGACAGGCTATTGATGATGTGAGGCTTCTCAAATGACAAATGGATAAGGTAAACATATTTATAATTAGGAGATATGGTGAGATTCACATATATCAACGATTGATAATTATTTGTTGATAATTATTAGTGAATGAAGCATTGTGAAATTCATATGTATCAATAATTGATAATCATCAGGCGATAAGACATTGTGTGATTCAACATACATCAATAATTTTTGGTCGTGTTGTGCGAGTTAGCGAGGGACAAATGTGAACCTATTTTGGACCATGCATGATGGCAACTGTTCAAGGTAGTCGGAAGAATTTAGTCGGACTGTGCTTGCTTCCACTTTGGAATCGGACCAGATATGAACAATAATGCAAAACTTTGAAATGGAGGTCGGTTTGTTGCTTCTCCTCCCAACCTCAAAAGTCTCAAAGCCACATACAAACATACACATCCACTGTGCAAATTTTTTTGGGTCAAAACATCTACTGTGGTACGATTCTATGGAAAGTATTGCAATTTAGCAAAAGGGAACACTGTTTTGCCTAGAGGAAAATCCAAGGCCTTAAAGATGTTGGCAGGAAAGTACGAAAGAGGGGAAGAGGAGGTAGACTTTAGCAGACAGAGTGACTGAGAGACAGTGACTTCCAAGGATCTCAACCTTTAAATTTGATGTGTCCCATTGCATCCATTACGTGTCATCATACATGTCATTGCTTCTGAGTGACTTCTGACCCATCTTTTCTTTTCACTTAACTCCGCCACTTATTCCTCTCAGGCCTTCCAATTAATTCAACTCTTATCAAACTCTTTCAAGTTCAACCCCTACCCTATACTTCAATTCACTTCTTTATCTCCCCGTATATTTTATTGCCACAGAAAAGCCTGCTTGAATTTCATTTCAGTTGAAAACCAACATGAGCTCTTCCTCAGAGAAATCCAATTCTCCAGCCAAGCCAGTGAGAAGAAGGGCAAGCAGAAGGGCTTCCCAGCTTTGTGACATTAATGCTGTTGAAATTAGGAGGCAGATTTTTCAAGCCTTGCAACTCCATAGGGCATCATCATCATCATCATCATCATCTTCATCTTCATCTTCATCATCATCATCATCATCAGCATCTTCATCCCATGTTGCTGTTGGTTCACAATTTAATTCATTGGTGGAGTCTATGCCTCTGCCTGGACCTGTTTGGTCTACAACTGCACCTTCAGTTTTGGCTCATGCACCATCTGCAGCAGCAGCAACCATGGAAGCCTTAGAATTTGAGTGGGGAGAGAACCAAGCCTCTTCCTATTCTTGGTGGTTATCTTTTCTAAATACCTTGGATAGTAACAATGCTGAAAAATCGAAGTACCCTTTATCACTGGGAAGTTCTAATTGGTTGTTTGGTCAGAACCAGAACAGTTGTACAGCACTTGATCAAGAGCCATCTTTGGTTGATGCAAATGATCAGAGCCCTTCCCCAGATGAATGGTTGATGCTACCAACTACAGAAGATGATGAGGGTGAGGTTGTAATTCCCTAAGCTTGGGATTTTGGATATAGATATATAGCTTAACATCTAGTATTTCATCCTCAACTATCTGTTTCATATTCTGCTTAGATTAGATGATGAGGATGATGTTGTATTTGTTCCCTTTTAGTGCACTAATTTATGTTAAAGTATTGTGTATCAAATTCAATTCTGTCTGACCATCCAATATTTTAAAAAAAACACTGATAAAACTCATATAAACTGGTTTAGTTAGAAACACTGAGTAATTACTACATAAATATGATCATTATTATTGTGATTACCTTCATACTAATAGGATAAAAACTGATGGATTAAGCTATCCTTAAAAAAAAATTACTACTAGTTTGTTGAATGAAGGGAAAATTCAGTTGAATTTGGCTTAGTTTGAGCTGATTGAACACTGAAAATTCTAACAGCTGAGTGGTAAATCAAATGCTGTATCATTTGGATGTGACATTTGGCTAACACAGTGAATCCAGTGTGGAAACTTTTCCTGAAGTAGGGTAAAATCCAATCCATCTCTCAACTTGAAGAAGAGTGGCTTGGTCTTAATAGCAGTAGTTGAAAAAAGCTCATTGACCGTTTCAAACGGTCGAATCAATTAATGGTAGTCCTGCAATGCTTTCAAACTGGAGCTTGGAAACAGTGAAAAGGGTTAATGGTTTTATTGCCATTTTGGGGAAGGCATCAGAGACCGAAAGCTGGGCTGTGGGCCTCTGTTTCAATTTAGCCTACGCTTGGCGTGGAAGAAAGGCATTCATTGTCTGCTCTGTTTAGCCAAAAACCTCTTATAAAGAAAGCTCGTGCTGCAAGTTAGGTCATATTTTTGTTTGGTGACACAAGTCAGGCCACATTTATATATGTTAGTGGGTTTGGTTTTTTAATTTCTACTGGGCCTCAAGGCTCAAGCCCTGATTTCACAATAGAACGAACAAAGAAACCAAAATAAATAGAAAGACATAAATTATGAAAGCAAATCAAATACAGATGACACAGAGATTTCTAACATCCAATCTAATATAAGGGGCCATATATGCATGTAGCTGTCTTAACTTGTCATTGCCAACCAAACAAGCAGCTAAAAAATTGTAAGGCAAAATTAAACGTGAATGCCATTGCCATCTGCATATAAGTGTCTACTAGTGAAGGTGACAACGCATGCGACCTATTTGACCATTTACCAATCGAACCTGAATGAGAATGGCCAACAGCCTCTGTGTGACTATGTGACTTAGCAACTACATTGGATTGTCACTCGTCACCTAACACACTCTATGATCACTCTCTTGCCATCTCACTTGCTACTAAACCTCGCATGTAGTTAATTTCTAATAGGTTGATACATGTTTAGTTTGTTAAATTCAGAGAGATGGGCGAACGGCCCACAAATAACAACGCCGATATTGTCCCAAACTTAACTACCTACATAGCTCAGTATGTGTGGGATTTTATTACAAAAAGCCTCGGTGATATTAATAGTAGAACCATTCATTATATATTGTATTTTGTTTAATTAAGTTTCTGATGTATGACTCATTCTTCAACATAGTTCACAATGCATCAATAGTAAGGTTTCACTTATGTGTGTGAGCAATTGACGTTAGCTCACACGCATTTTTATGCTTATTAACTGTTAATTTACGTAAAATTCACAATGCATAAATCATCATATTTCACTCACATGTGCTTGAGCGCGATTGAAGCTAGAAGAATTCTAACTCACATTGGATCCCAATCAATCAATCAATCATTCCTCTTTTAATTGTTTCGAAAGTACCTTATCTCAATGTTGATTGTTGGGGTACCACATACCAGGATCTCAGCCTAATAACAAAATTCTGAAGAGCCAAGTCTAAGAAACATGCACCACATAGTTTTAGCAACCTAGTTGGCCCATCTATAATTTTGCTAAAACTCTACCACACACAGAAATAGTACAAATTTCCATTCATGTGGAAGAGAATAATAATAGTCAACAAGACATTAACCTTAATGTGGATTAATGATTGAGACAACAAACTTAAACCCATCAAAAACCATAATGACACATTAATCATTCGACAAACACAAGAGCCTAAAACCACATTTAAGTTAAGTTAAGCAGCTTGATACACATTTTAGGTACCGTAAACTTCTGTTCAATGTCCACTTTTAAGATAATTAGTTTTTCAGCCTAATTATTTATCCAAAGATGCCCATAACATGATGCCCAACTTTTGTAGCTTAATTAAGTCTCCCAGATTTGAATGCGGATTTAATTAAGCTTAACAAGCAAGGAATAAGCTTGATTAAGCTTAAAAAATGGACCTCCTCCTACCTGTCAAGAAGATCAGATAACATGGATTTCGTGGATGAGAAGTTCTTGTGGATTATATTGCAGATGCAAAAAAACGATAAAAAACAATCAATGCAAATCCATTTAAGCGACTTTTCCAAACATTCTATGAACAGTCAGACAGAAAGATCCTAGAATCTAGAAAATGAGAAGTGGTGGATCGAAGACATTAATGAAAAAAACAATAATGCGTGGTTGGTTCAGTATAGTTCCTATCCATATGAGTTTCTCAATTCATTGTACATTCAATAATTCTGGTTATGTGGGCTTCAGTCGGATTAAATTACAAGAATCTCTATCCTCTTGTGCACGAGGGGTTCTGGGTTGGATCCAACTGGTCTTCATAAATGTTTGGCCACTCAATATCATTGTCACATTTTTGTTTTTCTTACAAGTTAGGGTTAGGTTTGATCTAAAAATGAAGAAACAGAGGGCTCCCCTCCGTATATGGGGCTATAAAATTCAGAGGATTTAATTCATGGGTTGTGCTAGCTAGCTGCAAAATTTATGTCGGTTGGCTTCACTTGTAGCTCAAGTTGTTAAAAGCACTCATTTTACTCGAAGTCCTGTATTCGAATCTCTTCTCTAATATAGTTTATATATATATATATATAAAGTAAATAAAATGGAAAAATGTGTTAATGTTTCATATATTTTTCGAAAAGTGAAAAATAACATGATTACAATACAACATGACTCCTCCTAATTCACCAAGTTGACCTTAATTTTTTTGTTGAACACAAATTAATTACCAAATTGCATAAATAAGATCATGCAATATTTGCCAGCATAGAGTGGTGGGTGGGGAGTGGGACTGTGCATGGAAGAAAAAGAAAACAAAAAGAAAACACAGAACTCCATTATTGAAAGGTTAGGGGTCCAGCCAAGAAAATTGAGACAGAAAAGGGGATTTGGGGAATTTCAATGACATATTCACGCTGAAAGTGACGGCGTTTCTACCTTCACCGGTTAATAGTTTCCTTAAAAAACGACGACACCATGGAGTCAAAGCGGTCGGACGGACTCATACAGCTTGGCATCTCCTGAGCCGCCACCGTCAACTAGTTTACCATTTTAACTTTCTAAATTACAGAAGTCTCCCTCCATCTTTTCTTTCTATTATAGTATTATGCGTAGGCACTGTTTTGTTTTATTTCTCGTGAAAAGACAACAAATGATTCATTTTCAAGACAACTTAGGCAAATTGCAAGGGAGGAATTTTTTAAATCAGCTACATGCAATCTTCGATGACTTCTTTTACACTCTAGGAGAGGGATGTTCAGTACTATTGATGTGTCATGGAGCTGTTTTTGGCTACCTTCATTTTCATCTATAAAGAAAGGAAAAAGGAGACAATTGTAGATAATAAATATGTTATATTATATATTATATATACACATAGTTATTTTCCTATGCCAACGTCCACTTGTTGTTACGAACAGAAAGGAAAGCATAAAGGAGTATTAGAAAATACATAACGTCTGCATAAGAATATATATATATATATATATATATTACACTATCATCACCACATATGTCAAATTGTGAACAGTATATCCCATGCATACAAACATTAATCAACAACTTCTTATGTGGGTTTTTGGGAAAATCTCAATCCTTGTGATCTTTTTTCCTCCACTATATTTTTCTTTTCTTTTAAAATATGCTAGTTAGGGTGAGAATTTTCATTATGTTATGAAAATTCAAGTCATATTTTGTGAAGAATTATATACCATATGGTTTTTATTTTATGAATAATATATGTGGTTTAGAAATAAGAGCATCCTAATACCAAGTTTTCTAGTTCATAAGATATATGAAATATGACTAAAAATAAACATGTCAGATTAGTTTGAGTTTCTCTCGAACAAACAGTCAAATAGGTCCGATAAAGATTAATCAAATATTCGACACAAATCCTCCTATCCTAGCTTTCACTATGAAATCATTTTGTTTATGTTTCATGATTTTCCAAGTTTTTGGAAGATGTTGGATTAATTAAGTCGGTCGAGTATGACAAATTCGAAAGAATCCAGATATGAGAGTTCAAAGGGGTCAATTTTAGCACAAAGATACCAAGAAAATAAAAATAAAATTGTTCTAGGATGATGCACAAGTAAAGGGACATAACCCAACTTTTTAGATTCAAGCCATAGTAGGTTTAGTGTTCATCGGCAACTTCCATACCTACAATAGCCCCTGTCGTTTGTCCCCAGGAAAGCTTAGAGCTTTATGATTATTTAATACATCTATTCAAATATCTAATCTGACTAAAGTGCATGCTTTTCCTGTTGATACATTAATTATTTATGAGCCGAAAGAAGAATACTTCATGTAGTCATATTAAACAGTAAATACATCTAAGTGGTTGGAGCAAATCCTGACCATTGGATCTTCCATGTCATGAAAACAATCTATCACTAGAGTAGTATATTCGTTTTTTCAAATACAAGTTATAGTCTAAATTACTCTAAATTAAAGAGAAGCAGACTTAAATTTATAGGTGTAAGGAGACCAGCACACTGTCTTAGCCAATTAGCCTAACTCACGTGTGCCCACCAAGGAACTATATTCTTAAAAACACTGCTGGTTTCTTACGTGTAAATAGTCATTCCTCTTGCTGTCGAAAATCTCTCTCACACACACATATATATATATATATATATATAGAAATAATCTATTAAAATAACTAAGGAAAAAAGGTTTTGAGTACGTGTCACACTATGATTTGTGCAGGAACCAATATTTTTTTATTATTCTCAAGCCATGTAATTTTAGGCTCTCAATTTTGCTATAAAAAGGGTTCCACCTAGCCACATTCCTATGCATCCAAAGGGCAAGCCAAATATTGCTAGTTAACTTCTCCCTTCCCTTGTCTCCCTCAGACCTAATAAGGAGGAAGCCCTGCACAAGCCAGAAAAATGCAGAACAATGCAATAGTGGAAGCCCTGTACAAGGCACTGGCCCAAGGCCACACAGAAGCAGTAGCAAAGCTTCTTGCAAGTGACCTCGAATGGTGGTTCCATGGCCCTCCACAGAGCCAGCACATGATGCGTGTGCTTACAGGGGAGGCAAGCCACGCAGACTTCAGGTTCGAGCCAAGAAGCATCACAGAGGTTGGTGACTGTGTGATTGTTGAGGGATGGGAAGGCGCAAAGGCCTATTGGGTGCATGTGTGGACCCTCAAAGAAGGCCTCATCACCCATTTCAGGGAGTATTTCAACACGTGGCTCACTGTCAGGGATCTGAAGCCGCAGGGCTGGGAGAACTTCATTGTGTGGCAGAGCATGCCAAGAGACCTGTTCCACCGCTCCTTGCCAAGCATTCTGCTTGCTATTTAGAGTTTATTATATATATCTGTGGGTGGTTTGGTGCTTAAAGAGCTCCAGACAACTTGTTGATTAGCAAGAAAAAATAATAATAATAAATTTTGAGAAAATAAAATGAAGGGTACTTGTGGGTTGAAGCTTTGAGTTTGAACAATGCATGATAGACATCTCTGGTCTTCTGTGATGTGTTAAGAAAATGGAACTGCTGTTGTCTGTCAAATAAAATGGAACTACTAATAAAGATAAACCCTTGACCAGTTATTTAATTATTTAATTGTTTGGATTGTTGATTTCTTAGTTTACAAGTTCTGTTTAATGCAGAATAGGCTACATAGCCACCACCACTGAATCTCACAATCAATTACTTCAGTTTCAGTTGGTCTATAACTTATTTTTGGGGCTGGATTTTTTGACCAAAATCATTGTGGTTTTAGCTCTGTGCAAGCACATTTTGTTTGGTCAAATTGGTATCAGATGACTTAATTCAATACCATTGCTGCATTGCATTGAACCATGAGCTTTACCTTTGTGGGCTAGCTCTGCCCAAAACTTCTAGCAAAGACATAGAGAATCAAAATTTTCCAATATGCATGTATTTGAAGTGTAATATAAGCTTATATTTCATTTCAACATACTACATATAAAGATGCCAAAGAAAATGAGTTTATCAAAATCATATAATAGTTCCTGTAGTCTTTCCAGAACTTCGCTAATAATTCCTTCCTTTTTGTGTCTTTGGTTGGATATTCTCTTCCCTCTGCAAAATCAATGGTACAGGGGGCTCCATTGTAGATTCCTCTTTCACCTTGGGGAGCTGTCTATCTAGACTATGGTAATCTTTTTGAAGTCTGCTTGGACTTGTAGGCTTCTTCGAAAGTAGAGAAGTTTGATCAAATCTATATTCAGTAATTCCACTTTCACGCGGTAAGGGTGATAGCGCAGGCTTGCCATGCTCACTCATTTGCTTCCCGCAGAACTTATCTTCCACTACGTCATAGAAATCGGCTGTCCTTACTTCCTGAGCAAGTGAGCACCAGCAACAGAAAAGCCATTGCGCACAATCTGTAACTGCAGGCTTTCCACAGCATAAGTCATTTGCTGGCATGTTGAATCTCTTCCTCATTTGAATTCTCCAGAAGCCGCCGTACAGCAAACCAAACATACAAAGGACAATGCCGGTTATACCCAAAGCTTCCCTGGCAATTTCATTCTCAATTTGGAAGGCAGCCAAACTGAGGATCCAAAATGGGGCTGTGCAGAAGAGGATAAAAGTTACAATATGAACATACATGTTACCAAACCCAAGCCTCTCCATGTTCCACCCAAAAACACAAAAGCTGCAGAAAAGAGATAAATAAGATATAGCAATATCATCCTGAAAATCAAATAAACCCCCTCTCCATTGAGGTGCATACTCAGAAATCCTTTGGCCATCTCTAGATGCAAATGAAAATGTCCTCTTGAATGACTTCATCATCGAGTGGCTGGACCGGCTTGTGCCATTAGTGAGAATATGATCCTGCGCTTCATGATCAACTTCATACTCCTTCCCGAGGGGACTAACAATGCAGTACACACCTGCTATTGCAGGAGCAGCAATTGCAACCAAAAGACAGACACCGACACCAACAGCAGGTCGCTCAGATCTTTTGTATCCCAAGTTAAGCCCACACAAGGCATACTGAGCAAAGCAATTCAAATGGAGTAAAAAAATTACCACCATAATGTGTGCCCATTCATGGGGTTTGTAAGTACCATTCTTAGAGTACATTTTTCTAAGCAATGAGACATCCTTTGGCTCCCATCTCAACAGAAGTACAAGGTGGTAGATCCTCTTTGGGTGTTGGTAAAGAGCCATAAGAGTAAAGAGAGCATTGAGGATTTGATTGTTGATCTCAAACCAGGCATTTCTCTCTGACTTCTCGGGCAGGACGCTGTTTAACATTCCCGTCATCACAAGAAATAGGATTGCTCCTGAGACGGCAACACAACTTATCCATAAAAGGATGGCCATATTCAGAGGGTTCTTGATCCACTTTTTGAAGATTTTACTCATGGATGCCCAATCAATCTTCTGAGCAAGAATCCCATTGAAACATTCTCGCAAACCTTGGCTTTTTGAAGAAGGTACAGATCCTGAGATTTCATCTCTTCTGTGATTTTCATCGCTAAGTAAGCCGTCCCTCTTGTGATGTCGAAATATAAAGCACATTGTTGTCATTAGCCCTGTAACCATTTTAGTAGCACCTCAAGTTCTTTTATCAATCTCGGTTATGCTACCACCATAGCCGGAGTCACTTTGCAAGCAAAACTGAAATTCATACAATTCGAGAAGTTTGAAACTCAAAAAGCACCAACAGAACGCCCGCGGTTTACACCAGCATGCTCATTAGTTATTACTGAAGTTCAGAATGCTGAACCATACTGTAGCTCTTCACCTTTTACATGTTCATGATCAATAACCTAATCAATTACATTAGATGATCAAAGCCAGAGTCCCAAAAACTTCAAAACAAGGAAACACACAGAGAGAGGGTGAATCATTTTTCTGAATCCTGTTCCAACTTGTGAAGAAAAGGATTGCAAACTAAAGTTTCATTCACCATGGAAGTTGAATAAAGTACATGGGAATTTTCCGACATATTCAGATATTTCAAATATGTATTCTTCTCCATTTATAAAGAAGTACAAAGATGTATTAACCTAGATAAAATAGGAAATAATCCTCAATTACAATAGGACTAAATAAACTAGCAAGTAACCAAAATCCTAACTAAGTACGTACTCGCCAACAGACATCTGTGGAATGAAAACCCAACCATTCAAAAACAGAAAGACTTGAGGCTCTTAAGTACACAACGGTTCTAAGATATTTATGGTCCACGCTCACAGGAGAGAAGGCATTTAGTTCTCAAACAAGAAATTCAAAACTAACACAATTCACACAAAAAATATGAAAGAAAGAAAGCAGTCCAAGATTTACTTACAATTTTCTGAAACTGAGTTTCTGTACTTCTGTGATAAGAGAAGAGAGCTATGGATGGTGAGCAAATAATCAGAGAGGTTCACATGTGAACATTACTTCATTTTTCTTGTTTGCCTTCACCAAGTCTTTCCCAATTACCGATCTTCAGCCAGTGACATATGTCCTCCGGCCGGAACAGAAGGATATTTGTCAGACTAGAAAAAGCAAACAGACAAAAAGCAAAAACGAAAAAGGTTTGCAAAAGCTATACCACTATTTTTCTTTACAAAGAAGAAAATAAAATAATTCAATTCTTAATGCAGTAAAGATTCAAAACGGTACTCCCGCGCACACGTCGGGTCCACGTCAATTTGGTACCGCACGGGACCCACACAAAGATAAGAAAAGCTTCACGAGCTCAAAAGAAACTCCGACTTTTTTCAACCCAAAGTTTTTGGGTGGTCGGCCGCTTAACTGCCACGTCACTGAACAAGTGACCTGATATTTATACCAATTTAATTTTGGGAGTTTCACTAAAACACCCAAAATGGAGGTTGAAATTATAAAAAAACCCAAGCACTATTTAAACATATAAACACACCCAAAACCCATCATTACACACACTCAAAACTCATTTATAAACACACCCAAAAAGTTGACTTTGGGATTGATTTTAGGTGTGTTTCTATATTTAAATAGTACTTGGGTTTTTTTATAAATACATGTCTAGGATTGAGTTTATTTATAAATTTGTATTTAATTTTTTAATTATTTTGGGTCCTGAGAAAAAAGAAAAAGATAAAAAAAGAAATTGAGGCTTTGCCTGGTAGTGAAATTGTGGTGCTTTTGCCTTGATCTGAGTTTGTTTTGACCTTACATTTACAGCAACATTACAAACATTTTAAGGTAATCTGCTTGCCACATAAATTACAAACTGAACAAATACATATGCTTTCTGTTTCTAACAAGCTCACAAGTTGAGAGTGGCGCCCCCCTACAAAGGAGTTTACAGAGGAAAACAATGGAGATATTGACAATAGTATTCTGAGAGCTTCAGATGTTCCTCTCTAATGCCAAATCAAGCAGTGTACGGAAAAACTGGTGAGGGTACATGGGTGGTTCCTCTGCCAGTGCCTGAAAATGCACAACAAAAGGTCTAACCAGTTAGCAGTTGCTACTTCCTGTCCGTGAGGATCTCTTTGTTGTTGGCATTTGTGTGCTCTATCAAAAATAAATCAATATGCTCATTCTAAAAAAGTTTTTATTTGTTTGAGATAGCAAATTCTTTGGCTTGCCGGTAAGAGTTTTTATTTGCATAATATTACATGTTTTTTTCTAATAAAATGCAAAAGCAAAATGTGCCGGTTGAATTTCCAATTGCAAATTCAAAACAATAATTATTGGATGCGAAGTAATTCTCTACCCCAAATAGAAAAAGTTTGAGTGGAAATACCTGATGAATAAGGACAGTGGAAGGCGTCATTCCGGGCACCGTATTGACCTCTATGATCAAGACCTTTGGAAAATGAAATTGACAACAGAGTGAAAATGAGATGACTAATAAAATATATCCACACTTTTTTTTGGAGTCGTCCAAACTCCAATCAGTTAGGCAAAGAAAAAAAAATATAAAGGAAAATGTCCATAAACATCATACCTCGCCACTATCTACATTAACAAATGCATCAATTCGGGAAAATCCCTCCAATTCAAGAGTGTTTGCAATTATTTCAATACGTTGCTTACATCTCTGCAAGGCCTCGTTGCTGATTTAAGGAGGGGAAAAAGACATTAGAACAATATGATTCAAACATACAAAGCACAAAAAGGAAAATATCTTTGAAGTCAAACACAAGAAAGGGAAAACCATAAAATTACAAAATCATTCCTCACTAAACAATACTCTTAATAAACAGATCCATCATTTCCTCAAAATAAAGGTTCTTGACAAACCTAATAATTGATGATGGAGGTGGAGTGAGATTGATGCCAGTCCCACCTGCAAATGCAAGTGAATTGTTATTAATGATATGTCAGCAGGAAACTTAAGTAAAAAACCGAACCTGTAAACAAATGAACAATAAAACATTTAACAAAAGCTTACCTTGAAATTTCTCCTCAAGAGATAAAATGTCACCACTCTCCCGGACAGTGATGCTAGGACTCAACGAACGCATTGATCCTTGTTTCCCAATAACGCCAACAGTTATTTCAACCCATCTACTCTGTCCACTCCACAAGATCTGATGTCCATTTTCATTTTTAGATACAATTATATTATCAGTATTGATAAAAGGTTCAAAGATTAAGAGCTCCGGAGGGGGGTTTGGCATCTCAATGGTTCCATGAGCCTACATCAAAAACCAAGATCAAAACTTAAAGGTGGTATATTAGTTTTCTGTACAATGGATAAATGAAGGCCATACAGAGAAATCTGCAATTAAACCATTCCATACCTTTGACAAACAATTAGGAGGAATCCGGAGAACACAGTCTTCCAATGCTTTTACATAGACTGAAAGGTCTCCGACGCAGCTGCATGCACAAACGAAGTGCCATAAGAGCTTCCTAGTATAACTATTCACTACCATTGAACAGAACATGAAAAAAAAATACACCAAGGATTAACCTACCATAACCTTGCTACCCCAGTTGAGCATCCATCTCTTGCTGGTTTAACACATATTGTTTCACACTGAAGCTTTGAGATCAAATCATGCCATACATTTCCTATTCGCATACTAAGGAGATCCTCTTTTCTCCTCAAATCTTTGTTTATAGTAAGAACTCCTAAGTCCGACAGCTGTTCATTATAAGAGATCACAATACTTCGTTAACTAGCAAAATATGTGGGTCATATAAAGCACAAATGATAACAACAAAACCTAATTCATCTTCTTGGACATATACATATGAATTAATTAGCATACATGTTTCAGAGCAAGAGATGTTGCAAGTTTGTCCATACAAATCTTTGAAGCCATCACTCCAGGACCTTTACTTAACCAATAAGAAAAAAGGTCAACAACAAAAACAAGACAACAATATCTTCCTAAACTGAGTATTGATTAGAAAAAACCTGTATGTGGAATCCCTTCAGCTTCCAACAAAGATTGAAGTGTGCCATCTTCACCAATGCCTCCATGTACTATGAAATACGAATAGCATTAGATAAAACCTCGTAAGTACTTTAAATCTTTTATTTTTTGAATCTTCTGATCTCTAAGCACAGTTGCATGGAGCCTAGTCACACTCTTATAAGTTGTTCTTGATTCTTACCAATTATGTTCACAAAAATAGTGACTTACAAAAATGAAAACCAATAAAATCAATTAGAAGTCATATCCACCAAGGCTTCGGAGTTAAGGCTGTGTCTACTACTATGAGAGAACCACTTGATACTATTCTGTTAGCAGCTAAAGAACCTACAAATTCTTCTTGCCCAAGTCCCTAAATAACAGAATCAGAACCCTATGAATCTACGATTTTAAACTAATTTAAAAGTCAGTGTCAACTAAGTGTCCACATATTCCTTCCTAGCTATGCACATTGTCATCTGCATCTCTCTCTCTCTCTCTCTCTGAACTTCTGTTTCAGCAAAGATGGTTCATAAAATCAACACTCCATTTGGACTATATTTTCCCACAACCAATACAAGTGAAATTCTTTTTAAAACACCCAGAAGATCTCTCAGACATTAGTAATTATGTTATATTGTATTGATATAATGAAGAAAATAAAATATTAACAATCTATCACTAGCAGATAATGGTTGACAAAGAAAACCTGCAAGAAAAACTGTAGCCTGAGCTTCCTTGGCTAGCTTGATCCACTGTTCAACTGTTAATTTTACAGGTGGTTCATCAGTAATATCAAAACCTGTAAACCAGGAATGTTTCTTCAAGCCTTCCATGAGATTTTGAACAACTCTGTTCCTTAAGTGAGATGTAAGTGCAACTCGGTCAGGTTCAATTGCCTCTGTGCATGCATCAAGAACTTCTTCTGTGGTGTGTCTTAGCACAAGAGAATAACTGTTCATGAAGAAACCTAATTAAATTGTATGAAGAAAGAGTGTTTAGAGGAAGAGGGCCCTGTCTACAACACCCATATGCTTTAGTTAAGGACTTGGACTGCACTGAAGTTTCATTGTCACCCTAAAACATTTTAATGCTCTTTTGGACTGCATTGGTAGATATCTTGGTTTCAAGGTATTTAAGTACATAGCAAATGAAATGGCAATTAATAACTCAGGATTCCGGTAGATCTTCTATAACATAATATGCATGTCAAGGAAGATGGAGAATTAACTAGCTTATATATATCATAAAAAAATAAAAGTTGCCAAAAGTGTTCACAGGTTTGCTGAAGTATCACTTCGAGGGGCAAACAAGACTTCTAATGTTCTACTCCAATTTTCATTTCTGGTAGTAATTCTAATAAATGAGTATAACTTCAATAAGAGAAGTGGAAGCGCACATAAAATGATACGTATAACTTACACTAACAAAAAGAAGTGATCTTCACTTCTGCCCACCTTGTGCACCCACCCATCCACAGAGAGAGAGAGAGAGAGAGAGAGAGAGAGAGAGACTTACGGTAAAGACCAAACTGTTCTGGAACTCACATCAACTTCGTTAGATGAATCTCCAGTTGTGGGGGCAAGCAAACATGGAATTACTTCGAGCTGTAGCCAACAAGATTGTCAATGTCAGATAAAGTCATAACTATCATGCACTTTGATCAAATAAAGAATACTTCTAATGACAATATAGTTATCTAGAGAGTGAACTAAATCATTGATCAACTACTGAAGATAGTCTCAGGAGAAGTTGAAAGGATCCACTAAAATTCTTCGAACACAGAATCAAAGCTTTGATGAGACGTTCCTCTTCTAGATGAAAAACATTAACAGATGTTCAGATTTTAAATGACTGTAAAAGCTTATAAAAATAGCTAACTCATATGCTTATACATTCATCGTCTTGAAAATTTTCAAAATAGGATTGTCTCCCTGAAAATTTCTATGTAGCTTCTTGAAAATTTAACCAATGTCCCCATTCTGAACATTTCACACTTCCAAACCATAAAGCATATTGTACACTCAAAAAACTACATGCCCCATGAATTGGACACTTACATCATCAAAAGCTTGCAAGTTGAGCCAAACATTTGTTCCGCTGATAAGAGATACTTGCCTCTCTGATGAATCTCCTCCAAAAATAACAAAAACTTTGCGAGTGCCTTTACAATTATGAACTGCTTCATTAAGCAGTGAGGTTTTTGATCTTCTAGGCGCATAATCTGATACGCTGCCAAAGGATGCAAGATTCGGATACCGCACACAAGCATGACGAATTATGCTCCGGAGAATATTTGAATGAGAAAAACCAACCTGGATCAGAAAAGCAGGTTTTCAAGCAAGTTAGTGGCACCAAAATGTAACAAGTACTGAGAGAATGGAAAAAAAGAAATGGCAGGCGAGGGGAGATGTCATGCACAACAGCTTTTCATGATTTGCATGTCATTTGCTGCCTGAACTCTGTAAGTCATTCTTAAAGGCATGCTTAAGATTTTCCATACAACAATGCTAAAGCTGCTATTGTAGTGATTAATGTAAAATAATAAGATGCTAAAAAACAACAATCCTTCACATCATAAAGAATCTATAACGACTTCCATTAAAACACAATTAAAATTAGAAGCACCTTCGAGGCTTGCTGAAACAAAAAGCTGGTCTGCTCCATCCCACTAATCTGATGAATGAAATAAAGATAGTATGAATATCTAAGAAGAATCAACACCTAGAATAAATATCATTGAGACTATTAGACAGCCTTCTTACCAGGTTAATGTCAGTAAATAATATTGTACCCATCTCAGTCCTTCCGAATTTGCTATCTGACGATGATGTTACATGAATAGATTGAGGCAGAAACCATCCATCAATTCGAGCAAAGTCACGGAGGCCAAGCTTTTGGAATAACCGAGATGCTCCTTCTTGAATACTTTCAATGACATCAATAGGAAAATGAGGTGGAGTGTGATAGGCAACCTGTTTGGCATGCATAGACTAAAAATCAGAAAGATGACACGAGAAATTTATTACACATCACGCACCAGAAGTCAAATAATAAACATTTTATGAACCCTTTCAAATAGACAGAAAAATGTGGACATATAAAATAACACAGATGTATGTGATTCTTTAAGGTCAAAAACTGGTCTACCTGCTGTGTTGGAAGGTATTTCCTCCGGTAGTTAAAAATTGCATCCTTCTCCGTAACATCAACACTGCCATGGAATTGAAGTTCCACCTGGTCATTTTAAGGAGTAATATTAATCAATATCTATTATATGTGTAATATACCTACAAGGTGATAATGATGTCCTCTATATTCCCACTAATTATTCGCAATACAATGACATGAAGCAAACACAGAAATGGAGCATTCATACCTCACTTGGTAGTAATACAACAGGATGGCAATCTAAACCAGATCCCACATCAAGAACAATTGCTGTAAACTCACTCCCTCCTTCAAGAAAGATTTCAACTAGGACTCTGGAATCAATTCCCTATCAAACATGAAAAAGAGAACAAATTTTATCAGTGAATGCTTTCTACTCTATATTTGAAGCCACGTTTTTCAAAATTAATTTCAGGATATTGCACCTTCTATTTCCAGCTAAATTCATATTCAAACCAACATGGTCCAAGTTCATGCACATGGTTAAAACTCTCTTGAAACTTTCATGAAGCATTTAGAAGAGTGAGAGTTTAAGGAAAAAAAAGGGAACAAAGAAATACGAAAACTACCTCTGTAATAATTGCATTAGCCTTGCTAAGGGAATCAGCCAGGCCATATGCAACCGTAACACCAATGCTTGATCCTGCTCGTGTTGGTTTTACCTGGAACAAGATAATAAAGATGTTATATTATCATAAATAGACCAAATAAAACACTATTACACTCTGGGTTTGATTACATTACAGCACTCAATATGTGCCTTACCACAACTTTCCCTGACGTAGGGTCCAGTTGATTTCTTGCAAACCACTTTGACAGTTCAGATTCATCTGCTTCACTTCCCTATAAGTCATTAGAGTCAGAGAAACTAAAAAGAACAAATACATCAACGCCAAAATTCACAAAATTTAAACAACCATCCAAATTACTGTATCCTCAAGAACCAATATCAATACTCACAATTAGTGACAGAAACAAACTTCAAAAGTGCAACTAATGATGCCATCATGCATGAGAAAAAGTTACGCAGCCTACTGAAGTCTAGATTGTTGGAAATTATGACTTAGTTACATAAATTATTGTACAGATGCTAATCCCTCATTATGTAGATAAAGATAATTTTGACAAAAGCGCGTATTTTATAAATATAGACAACTAAGTTGAGATAGTACCTGTATTAAACAACTTGGTACTGTTATGAATCCTTGTCTGCTGAGCTCCAATGAGGCATTGTACTGCGCCATAATTCAAAAGCACAAACAGTTATTGTCATCTTCTTTCTTTTTAACTCTTTCTCTATATATATTAAAATAATTTAAACATATTGAAGTAACAATCATTGTCCAATTCGTCATCTCGTACCTTGTCGAATGCTTGGCAACACTCACTTGATCCCGTGCCAACAAATGGAATGTTATACTTTTCCAGCAACTCCTGAAACATCATATGTTGAAATATTACATACCAAAGGAAGAAATAGAAAATAAATCCATTAGTGTGTGTTTGTGTTGCAAACTTGCAGTGGAAGTAAAGGTTATGCAATAGTACACCTGAATGCCACCATCTTCACCAAATTTACCATGTATGACTGGAAACACTATGTCCACAGAGGCAGCCAGGTGTTCGGCGAAGTTGGACAAAGACTCGAAACCTTGGGCAAGGCTGCAGAAACTCACAGTTAGCCAGGTCAACATATTTGGTCCCTACGAGAAGGCGACGGCAAATTCCGAAGTTTCAAAATACAAAAACTTACCTTGCAAGTTTAAAATCAAAATCCGCAGGAGTGTTTGAGTATACCTGTGAATCTGCAAAATTTAGAAGCAGGAAAAGAAACAAGTCCAATTTGTTTTTTTTAAAGCAATGCATGATATACAAACCTGAGCAGGGGATATTGCGAACGCATTAAGGTCAGGATCAATGTAATAGCAATTCACATGTATATCACCTCCCTGTTTCAAAATTCAAAGAAACAACAATTTTCTTACTATCTATTTCCACTATTTTCTCGGAATCCAAACGGAAATTGAAGGAAACCACGTGTAGCTCTATAGTGAAGAAAAGCTTTACCTGAATGTGATCAAGAACTGATCGAGCTGAGTTGAGAGAAATTCCACGCTCCGCCGAGGGACCTCCACAAATTACCCCCACTCTCAGAACCCTAACATTCTCCTTCTCTTCTCTCTCAATAAGTCGATCGTCCACCACCTCCACGGAGGCGCGTGGGACCCCGATGCTCCTCCACCGCGCCGGCGAAGCACAACTTCTCAAGCTCTGCTTCAATCGCAACAAGCTGAAGTTCTGCGCGCACAGAAGCGGTTCCGGAGCGGCATCGTTTTGTTTGGCGCGAAGTAAAGCAAAGCTGGAGCAGCCAAATGCGATCGCTGCCATCGGAAAATGATCGTCGGGACTCTAGTGAGAGAGGGAGTGAGCAGGCAGTGAAAACATAGTTAATTTTTTCTCAATTTATTTTCAAATTTTAATGTTTAAAAATTCGTTTCAGACGGCAGCAAATGCCAAATTTTGGAGGGAGTGCGGCTTGCTCATCGTCGGTCAGGTGCTGTTGAAAAGAAATAATTTTTAAAAAAAATGTTATTAGCGTGCACTTGTTTAGCCTTAATAAAATAACGCCGGCCAATTATGTTTTAGATCATTATTTTTCTGATTAATTTTATAAAGATAATTTTGTTTTCTAGCTACAATTATCACCTAATTTGTTTTATTATTAATTTAATTGTCTATTTTTAATGTAATTATTCCACTCCCACAAGAAAAGTCCAAGAGTGATGAGGATTTAGCCAATGGATATGGATATGATAGTGAATCCAAACGAGTCATTGGTTGGAGTTAAAGTTAAATAAAACCAAAGGGTTAGTTGGAATAATCAGGCACATGATTTGCTCTTATATGGTCTTAGACTCGGAACCTCTAAACATACCTACCTAGCTATTCACTAGTGTTTGTGTTTCTTACCCCCCAAAAATTGTATGGTATAGCATGCTATTTGGATATATAGCATAGCCCAAGCCCAAAAAAAAGAAGAAAAGAGTGTAACACAGCATAGCCCAAGCCCAAAAAAGTCGGCCCAACTTTTCTTTGGGCTTAATCAGATTTTTATGATACTAGTTTTCTTCCAACTTTCTGGATCTCAACATCGATAAATGATGGGCGGAGATCAGGTTTGGTGGTTCTTTTATGCAAGATTGGCCCAGGCCAGGTCACTGGCTATTATTACAATTTCATAATTTTTTGGATCATCATATAATCCCTTTTACATGTTATTTACACAAAAGTAAAATAGCAATTTTTTTGTTCAATTACATTCTTTTACCCTATTTAGGATGGTTCTACTTAAAACCCTCTATTTTTTTGGTTACATTAGAAGGAAAGAAATCCTGAAATTTTAATCCTGAATGCCAAGCAAGGAGGAAGGAGGAGGACCACAACCGCTGTGATAATCCAGCTCAACAAACCCTCTATAAAAGTAAAAACAAAACCTTTGCATTTTTTTGCTTTTGAAATTTGTGTAATCTCATTGGACCCTTCTTTAAATACACTCAACTAAAATTTATTTCATAACTCACCTTATACTTGTCCTCTCTCTCACCATCACCCTTTGCCCCATCCCCTCTTTATCAAAACATTATTCTAAACTACTCTAATTTATGTAGAGAAATATTCGAATTTGAGTGCAACAAGACATATACAGACATGAGCAAATCTTCTAATCCATATAAAAATATTTCCCAAATCTTTGACTAATGACTACTCAACTTGGACCACCAATACCAATACCAAATGAATAATGTCATATTTCAATCACTCACTTTTGTTGAGAAAAAGCGATAGTAATTATTGATGAAATATATCATAGTATAAAGTCACAAAAGAGTCAAAATGAGTACAACATTTTCAATGACCAAACACTATGACATGTTGATTTAATCTAGAGAGAATTATGCATAAACCAACAAATACTCAACCCCCTGATTCAAAATCTCTAAGGACTCGTACTCAGACTGACAATACATCTCCACCGCGCAATAACAGAAACGGCAAATCTGTATTGCAATTGAAAACTAGAATACAAAACACGGCAAACTCCTAAAGAGTTCCTGTGAGTTACAATAAAAAGTACATCAAATTCCTAATGAGTAATAGACTTAAAATAAGAAACAGGACCACCATTCCACATTTGGCAAACCTATAGAGGCGCAAGGAGGTGCAGTTGAACCTCCCCTTGCTGGAGAAATCGTTGCAGATGCCCAGATGCCCGAAAGTTGCACCCGTGCTCAGTCTTTTGGTGCACTCCATCTGTTCGACAAAAGGCCCCAACGAACTGACTCTTCCTTTGCTGTTGTGCGCTGTGCTCTGCGAGCGTGCTGCATTTCTCTCTTTTTAAAAAAATTTAAATATATATAAAAAAAAGCCTCCTGGCCAAAACGACGTCGTTTTGGGCCAGGGGAAAAAAATAGTGTCCTTATTATACACGGAGTAGAAGAAACAACCCGCTGCTAGGGAAAAAAATAGGGAGACTTTGGAAAAACACAAAGGAGAGAGAAATTTTGTAAAAGAAGCCAAAATGGACAAAACTGTCCTTATTTATTTTTGGATTTCCTAAGGAATCCTTTACATTTGCATGTCTTTGATTTGAAAGTTGAGAGATTTTTCTGTCTTTTTTGAAAAAGCTTTGGCTTTTTCCAAAAGTGAATTTTTTTTTTTATAGCTAACACCTAAATTTACTCAAAAAAATACTGGTGTGGTACCAAAGAGAGATATGGTGAGTTGGTGAAGGAGAGTGAAGGGTAAGAAAGATAAGTGTGAGTGGGGTTTTGGAGGGTTTTGCTTGGCATTTTTTCTTATTTTCGTGGAAAATGGGGGCAGAGAAAGTTCCACCCAAGAAAGAACATGTCCAATGGAGAAGATGAAGTTGATGTCCTTATTGTACACGGAAGAGAGGAAAGTTAAGAAACTAAACATCTCTTGCTGCTATAAAAAAAAAAGATCTTTTGAGAGATTTTTTCCGTCCCCACCACACCAAGTCTTTTTTTGTTTTTTTAAGAGAGAACTTCATCCAACTCTTTACAAAACATCTTAGCTAAATTTTTTTTAAAAAGTATTTACAAAACATCATATTCATATATATATATATATATATATTTTCGTCCACGCTTTCTTTGTTTTTTTTTTTTTTTTTTTTTTTTTTTTTTTCCAAGTCTTTATAAAAACTTAGTCATTGATCAAGTCTTGTGCCTTTAAAAATTGCACCTCTGTTGAAAAATTTATAGATCCGTCAGTGTACATCCTCTCTGGCAACCAAAAAATTCATAAAGCCATATACCGGCTAAACCCTTAGTACCACACCAGCTAAACCACAACCCACACAAACCAGTAACTTTCATTATTGTAACTCCAAACATTGAACTAGAGCCAAAATCCTATATATATGGGCCAAAAGCAACAACTAAATCATGGCGACAATGGTGTTTCATGGTGTCTGTTTCCACATCACATACGAATCAACATAGCAACAATTACTACCTCTATCGACGTTGACGTTGTCGTCTCTGCTGGAATAGATAGCACCACCAGTAACTCTTATTACAGCCAAGCAAAAAACACACAAACTATAAAAAGAAAATGCTACCAAACCTACAACCAGAAACAACAAAAACAAAAAACAAAAAAATACTGGTGTGGTACCAAAGAGAGATATGGTGAGTTGGTGAAGAAGAGTGAAGGGTAAGAAAGATAAGTGTGAGTGGGCTTTTGGAGGGTTTTGCTTGGCATTTTTTCTTATTTTCGTTGAAAATGGGGGCAGCGAAACAACAAAAACAAAAAACAAAACCAAGATCCATGGGAAAGAAAAGGGAAGAAAAAAGGAGAAGAAAAAAAGGGGATACAGAAAGAGAGAGGGATTGAGAGAAAAGAGAGGGGAGGAAGATAGAGGCGAGATGGAGGATTAAGGGAGGAGAGGCATAGGCCACCTCCCCCCATGCGGCGTTGAAGGGTGGGGGGCTAGGGTTTTTTTTAAACAGATTGGTTGAATATCCGTAACCACCATTTAAAAGAAAAATGAATATTTCATTTTTAAAGGAATCGCGCATGACATATCATCAAAGTGGGAATTCATATACAATGTACTAATAGTTTCCTGTCAATTAAGTATGGCCATCCACGTCTTTATGAAACATCAATATCCCATTAAAACCCTGATTAACGATCTTTAGCTAGCACTCGGGATTTCCATTGTCGTTATACCAAACATGGCGGCTTTCGTTTTCCCTGTAACTATCAGATATATCACTTCAATCGTCAGAGTTGTAAGCTACCACAAAAATATGCTAGCTAGCTCATGCATGTTGCTTCTCTAACAACCTCAATTATTTGGAAATCTTAGGACGAAGGGACCACTTTATATGACTACATAGACGGCCAATTTGCATGCTTTTTGTGGTGTTGTTGTTTAGGTTAATTCTCTTTGCAAATAATTCGATATATCCTGGTCATACAAGGCTAGCTAGCTTTTTATGAAAGATATCAAACGTGGGCATTTGAATGGGTTCGGAAAGTGACTGCTTTTGGTTGGTCCTCCTATGTTTCTTCTTTCGTGTAAGCTAATAACTTTTCTTCATCGACCCTTATTTTGGTCTCACCCTCATTTGGTCTTAGGGTTCTTCTTTGATGTAAGTGGACTTTTCTTAACTCGTTTTCCTATCATCTCTATTTTGGTCTCGTGCACCTTCCAAAAACAGTTTAAAAGTGTGAGAGATGCTCTCGCTCTAAGTGTAATTTCTTGCCTCTTATTTGGTGTAGTTGATTGCTTCACATTCTTCGAATCCACACACCCTCGATTTCTTCTTGCATCACATGTGTTCAAAGAATGTAAAGAAATCAACTAACGTTTGACCTAGTGATATGTATTTGTTTTATTTGGGGAAAAAAAAACCTAAGTTTGAATTCTTTATTCTCCGTTTATTACATTTACACAGAAACGTCATTTTTCGTATGCATAAAACTAAGAAAACTAACACATAATAATTTAGTTTTCTCAACGGCATCAATGGCTGAAAATCATGCGTAATCACAATATTGAACTTTTAGAGCGCATGAGAAAATTGATTGGATTGAAGAGCCCTAAAAAATAAGTTTGAAACGTGAACGGTTCCCATCCCTAAACCTCTGCTAATTTGATTGATTTACATCAACAATTTGAGAGAAAGGACTGATGTCATAGGATTAGCTATCATTGTTTGAGAAATAAAATAAAATAATAAAAGGTTGGTGAGATGTTTATCCTATCGGGGTGTGACAATTATGAAAAACATGTCAAGTTTACGTGGTAAAATAATACAATAATAGGCTTCAAAATGAGGTCATATTACATAATTATGTGCCAAAGCCTAGATCATTTGAGTGAATACCCATTTGTCTCCACCAAAAACAAATATCATGGATCTACTCTGTTCTATTGTTATTGCACTGGTTGTTTTTATTGTTTTATTTCTACTTTCTTGTCTGTAAGAAGCCTCTTCTAAGGACAGTGTTATTCTTGTATAATCTTGTATTTGCCTTCATATCAATGAATCTACTCTGTTTGCCAAAAAAACAAAAAAAAAAGGGACAATCGTTCCTGCTTTTCCACTTGATTAGACAAAATATAATCATCATATCATGCTTGTCACTCACAATTGAATTGATGGCGCTCCTTGTCAAACTTTCAACCCAGAAAGATTCAAACTATATAAGCAACAATCCTCATGCATAAATATAGCTCAAGCCATAGAATTTTACATATATCAACGGCTGAAAATTAGCCATAATGATACTAAAAGAGTTAATGCGTAGACGTTGCGCCACCATGACGATGCCTTATGCAATCTTGGAGAGTCAATAAAGTTCTGTGCAGATTTTAGGGCTGATAACACGAATGGCCCAGTCTCCAATTACAATTTTTAATATCTTCTTTTGGCGCAAGGATAATTCTTAATCATTTAACAACATATTAATTAAGGGTGTGTTCTTTGTGTACATATTTTGATAGTATATAACTCATGAGTAAATTGCCACATGACCAAGACAATTTTTAATATCTTCTTTTGGTCCAAGACATATTTTGTGTGCATAATCAAGTTAGCTTCTTCAATTAGTTTCAAAATAATGAGTTTGTTCCCTTGAGTCTATAACCTTTGACAATTTTAATAAAAATTTACTACATCTCAAAAGAAAAGAAAAATGATGAAAGTTTATAATCGGGAACTTTATCACTAAATCTTTGATTATTATGATGCTCCATCACCTGTTGAATGTTAAAAATTTTTGTGTTTCATTAGAATTTTATTCCACTTGATTGTATTTGATTCTTATTCAATCAGCAGGAACAAAATTAGGTGTATAAACTTATTTTGCTATCTAAATTATATCTAGATAAAAGTAATAGAAATAAAATAGAATTATAGTTGATGAATGTTGAAACAAGACATGTACCGTAGCAAACAAATGAAACTAGGCAAGACAAAGACAAATAATTATGCACACGCTAAAACATAAAAATATAAGAAAGTGCTAATTATTTTTTGGTTTAAAAACGTTTAAGGGGAGGGGAGGCTACCCATTCCAAGGCCAAGACATACATATTGAGGCCTCTTTGAAGATTTATGTAGATTATTTACTAAGAGGGATTGTCGGCAGCGGGACTCAAATCTAAGCCTTGATAGAGAAAAGAATGATCCTTACCAAACTCAACCAACTCTCGTTGAAAAAGAGACACTAATTATTAATTAACCATTTAGTAAATGAAAATTTAAACAGGTAGGCAATGGAACTCTAATTTGGAGTATGTAAGTAAATGACATGATTTTAAATATAAATAATAGTTGTAAAGAAATAAATATTAAGCACACTCTTCTAGAAGTGTGTATATATATATGATATTGTTAGGTCTCACAACAAAATATGTTTATCTACCTCCAATATTTTTTGATAATTATTTTTGATTAAGTAAAACAAAGAATTAATATTAATTTTTGTCCACTGTAAGGGATAGTGTGCCAGTGGTTTTAAGTGATATGTCCATTACAGGACTAGTGTGAAATGGCAGCCTTTACCTACTTCCATACTTGTCTCCTACCTCTCGCCGAGAACCACCTCACTAACCACTAACTCAAAAACTTAATTTACACTTGTTAATCATAAATTAATATTTCTTTTGGCATGTGATGTCAAGTATAGCTTACAGAATTGACATCTCTGAGATTTTATAATCCCTAATTCCCGAAAGACATTCCAAAATGTATCTTACCACCTCAGCCTTTTCCATTTCTTTAAATATTATTATTTTTATTTGATTAGATTTGTCTCTACTACTCACATCTCTATCAATGCTTAAGTGGAGTGGAATGCCAGGTCAATGGGCCGCATCCAACATTTGTTTATTCATATTTTTTTGTGTTGATAAGATCCAAAAATATTATTAACTTGTTGTTTTGATTCAAAAGATCCAGAATACTGTTAAGCAACCAACTATCATCCAATAACAATATGCCTAATTAATCATTTTTGTTAAGCATAACAATGTGATTAATTAATATAATACCAACATTCACCCGCATTTGTTATACATAACAGTATTTTCAATGTTTGCATGCAGGCTGACGCACATTCACTTGCTACATGTCTTACCATGCTTGGTTTAAACAGCTTTTGTGAAATACATTATACAAATACATCGACGACTAACAATAATGTATGTGCGTTTAGCCATTCATTTTCAAACTTGATATAGTTAAGTCACAATGTGTGCTAGATAGCCCATCTTCATCAATTCTTTTCCACTTTTCTCTTTTCCTCGATCACGGTCTACAAGAAATCTCACCCAAAAAAATTATGTAAAACCATATAATTATTTGGGTGCTAGCTAGCTAGCAATGAAAAAGCAAAGAAATGTGAATAGGTTTTGTATACCTATTTAGGCATTGCCTTTTTACTTGGACCATGCTTTGGTATACAGATTGGGTATTAGTTTTGTTTCTTTTCTTATAGGTTGCTCAAGATTTCCACAATCCTGTGAAGTGAACATGGATGTCTACTCACGAATCTCTCTCTCTCGCAGAGTCATAATCCTTACCCCCACACATATGGTCCACGTTATGGCAAGAGTATCGTAATTAAGCAGAAAACAAAGGGGAAAAAAAAAGAAAGCTGCAGATGGGGCAGTGCAGTGCCTAGTTTTGTAACAGTGTGGAGGGTTTGAAGTTGTTAATCCAAGGATTATTCTGTAGCTTAATCCCAGAAAAAAAGAAGAAAACTATTAATTATCTGTCCGTCTGTTTTAAGACTTGAGAAGCATCTAGCTTATTTAGCATAGGGAAGTGCACTTGGAAAGAGACTTGGGAGCAAACTTGATGGGAAGTTGAAGTGGGTCTAGTAAATTCGACAATAAGTGCAATCATGAAATTTTTATACATTACTCTCGACCTACTTTGACAGCAAGAAAGAAATCAAAAGGGTCCTTCAGATTTTCATAATTAAAATGGGCCATTCAGATTGAGCAGAGGATCCTGAGATCTTACCATCTTCACGTTCTGCATCTTGTATTGGTTCTATTGGAAGCGAATTTGTCTCAGGATTTGAGACAGATACAAATATTGATGTTGAAGACGACTAAGACACACGCATGTTCTGTGGCAAGCAGCAAGCTCCCAGGGAGATGGACTAGAAAATAAAACAACACTAGCTGTTGCAAATCACCTCGTGAAGGCCATGGTAGGGTAGGCCTGAGGATGGTAACATTTAAAGTCCATTTCTCACTATCTATGCCTCTATCTAATTCCATAATATTCTTCCTGGATTTAAGACTAATTAATTTTCAGCACTTCAACTAACTAACTAATTAATTAGCAGATGAACAATTAATCAGAGAGCTTGTGTTGGAAGTTGGAGGAGTTGATTAAGACTATACAAGATTGGGACAGATGTGGACCTGTCTGTGGTAGTTGAATGAAAGGCAAGATGCATGTGATATGTATACACTCACTGCAGCCTCTCTACGGCCAAGCTTGAAGCTTGAACTCAGCACAAGGAAGATAACACTGTTTTGTTATTTCTATCTAATCACGTTATGTCATGTAGAATTGTTACCATGCATGACGGAACGTAATTGGTTGAAAATAGTAGAACAACGCTATCCCAGTGACATGCAACACATTGTGCAGCAAACAACAACTACTGTTCATGTATCTGGTATGGTGTAATAACCTTAATTATAAGTGTGGCAGGCAGATTTGCTGTTATTAATGCAACCAGCCAATATACATCTACATGCATGATCTTCAAAATAATATAATAGTTTCTCTTCTAATTGGACATCCGTTTCATTCAATTAAGACTGAAGTGAGCTAGTTGAGATACAGAAACACACTTTCTCACTTGGGCTTTTCTCTGATATATATTTATTTTAGCTAGTTGAGATACAGAAACACACTCCAAAATCTTTCTTTAATTAAACAAAAATAAATATTATGGAAGGTTTTATGGACAGTAGGGATCATCCCATTAAGAAATTTGTCACAGGGCAAAAAGGAAAAGTTTACAGTACCGGGTACTGCCAAGGAAATGCACTGGTGATAAATACAGTTCAGGTGGGTATCATCAGCATATAAATATAATTTAGACAAATTGTTAATGCCACACTAAAATTGTAGTATCTGATATTGGTTAAGTGATCATGATATATGGTGGGGGTGGTCCTCCTGTTGTTGCAAGTGTCACAAGTTGTTTGGACTCCAAACTCATCATCGGGCCTACACCCAACTAAAACCTAGCTTGCAGCAGCACTGTTTTTATTTTTTATAAATATTTTATTTTAAATTTTTTTTAATATTTATTTCTCCATGCCCACCTTTAACACAACTCACTTGCTTGCTTTGTTATAAATGAGTGGCCTAGCAGGACAGGGAAGTGCAGATGAGTGTCTCAAACTCACCGTTTTAAGATTCCTTTCTCACATTCTCCTCAGTACCACCGTTCTACCTCTCCCTCTCTCTCTCTCTCTCTCTCTCTCTCTCTAGATTAAGCTTCTTGTGAGGAGAGTAGAGCTCTAGCTCCTACAGTCTTAGCTATGGCATATATGAAAACTGAAGGTGTGTGTTGAGCAAGATGGAGGAGCAGGGCACGTGCATTTCTAACTCATGCGCATATACAGAGATATATTATTACTCTCAATATTTCACCTGCCCATCAGTCAAGTCTCTGAAAGCTTTTGCTTCTATATCTCATATCCAGTGATGAGTTAGTTATTCATGTGCCCCTCTTCCCCATCATGACCACTACACCTTATTTGTTACCTCTGGAAAAATATACCAAGAAGATTGCTTATAGATCAGAACCATGCAGACAAATTGAATTCAGTTCAGATCAAAATGCTGGGGGTTTGCTCCAGCTCAGGTAGGTCATGATTCATAATTGTTTTCTGAGCATTAGTTTGAGTAGATAAATATAGCTGCAGCCTTGATATTTTCCTATTTTAATAAAATGGGATTTCATTCAACACATGGGGATAGAGAAATTAAAATACTATGGGTTCGTCAATTTTAGTTTTTAATTTTAATTTTTTGTGCTAGAGTATAGAGGAAAATGAGAGTGAGAATGAGAGTGACGATGAGAGGGGAGAATGAGAAGGAAGAGTAACAAAAGAGAAGTGAAAACAATTTCAAATAGATTTCAGTTTTTAGTTTTTGTTTTCACTTTTGTTAGTTATTCCTCCTATCCTCCCCTCTCATCTTCCCTCTCAATTTCATCTTCGCTTCGTTCTCACTTCAATTCTCCCTAAAAACTAAAATTGAAATGGTTATCAAACATGCCCTAAGATGATTAATTGTTAAGGAGAAAGATCAAGCAAAGTCAATGTGTGTTTGCAGAATTCATAGCTTTTGAAATAGAGCCACAGTAGTTTTTCAACAAAATTCATGGCAGATAACCATTATCTTATGATCATAAGATCTGCAACTTTCTTTCTTTTTTGAAGGATTAGCAACTTGTTATATATTTGAGTTCTAACACTAAAGAATCTTAAATTTCAACCATGAAGCAGTAATTAATCTCATTGTATTGTTTACTCTTTATTCTATAAGCATGAATTTTTTTTTTTAATCTCCTTTTTCTATAAGTCGTTCAAAGTTGTATAGACAAAGGGGGAAACTGCTTTTTAAGTTTTCATCTGTCCCCCCAGTATGAGGAACATAGCTTTCCTATTGTGGAAATACATAATGCTTTTGAAAAGAAAGCAACCCTTCCAAGGTCTCACTATAATTGCTATGAACATCATAGTTCACCGACATTAACTGTGTGATTACTAATACTTTCAACCCTTCTCAGTTCTCACTAATCTAACTTTATCTTTTCCTCTTGTTTTCTGTAATATTTTTCTTGTTTTCTTAAAAAATAGAAATAAAAATCTGGGAACCTTCATATTGTTCTTGTTGTCAGAAAACAAAGAGATGCTTCTGCAGATGCTGCATGGTTTTGTGAGAAGAGTTATAGGTGAATTCTAAGGTCATTTACATTGAATTGGCAACTTGGTACCACCACCAAGGAGACATAAAAAATCTCTCTTTTCCGTCTTTGCTGACACCTCCTTCTCATCCACGTCTGAAGGACAACGATAACCAACTCATGTACATCCACAGCTCCTTAATCTGTTTCTTATCCGATTAATTATCCAATTGCGTAATTAACTTCTCTTTAATCTTCCACCATAATCAAGAGCCTACTGTTCAGACAGAGCAGATGTAAACTTTTAACTTGCAAAAGCAACTTAATTTATGAAAGATACTTTTGTAATTTTTTATGTCATGGATTATTGGTAACTCTTTCTTAATGAGCTTTTCAGCGAGCTTAATAGCTGATTTTAATAGCTGATTTAACTTCAGATTTATTAGTTTATGAGAGTGCGAATGTAGAAAATTTTGCTATCCCTTGCAAAGAAGCAGCCCTTTTCACACGGACAAAACTTTAATGTTTTGAAAGGGATACAAACAGCGATCTTTGGATGCCTCAATGATTCCACGGGAAAAGTGTAAAGCCAGCAAATTCGTTTCTTTTATTATTTGTTGGTTTTAACTTTTTCGGTAAATAGTGCTATTTTGCCCACACAAGATTAGGATAGAGAGAAGTGTGCAAATCAATAGAGCACTTTATTTCTTTTTCTCTCAACAGTTTTCAATATCTTGACTTCAGACCTCACATTGAGTTGAAAGCAAATAGGAGGTTCGCTTCCATATGGGCAATTGTCGACAATGGTGGGGAACTCCTTATCTGTAACTTATTACAGGCCACATAATAATCACCTACTAAAAATCACTTGGGCTTTAATAACAAGAAGTACCACTCTATGATAAATCAATACTCATATAACTGTGTGTTCTTAGTTTATGTTTTTTTATAATTGGTCTGTCTTAGAAACGTGCAACACAGAGCATGCTGTCCAGCAGTTCAAGCTCTGGATCAAAAAATACAAATTGGAACACAATTTACTGGATAGCTAATTCTGAAGAGCTTAAGACCACATGCTCATTTCAACTGTATTGAACGCAACAGGCAATGAAATTGTTGTCTTTTGGTGAAATTTTCATCAACTAATATGTTCAAGTGAAGCTATCGAATTTGAAGCAGTGGTTCTGGTAAAGAAAATGCCAACAAGAAGGGATCACGAGCATCAGCATAGCAAGTAAGACAGAAGATACTAGGTTGGTGCATACAATTTTCTGCCAAACATAATAGGACGAACAAATGGACAAATGGTACAGTATGATGAGTCAGAATAAATTGCCTCTCTTCAACAAAAGACTAGACGAAAACGAATCTGATGCACATGGATGCAGCAATTTCTGCTTCAGCTTTGCATTGTGGTAGGTAAAGTCAATCAACTGTAGCTGTTGATTCTGTACATCACAATGTAACAAATGCTACATGCAAGTCAATGCTTCAGCAGCTTAACTTGGGTTCACCAAATCAGTCCAGGTAGTCTCAGCAAAACCAGGTTCAGATCCTGAGCTAAGAAGTAGTGCTTCCCAAGCCTTTGCTCCAGGCGCAACATTCTTGTCAACCATTTTCTTCAGCAATTCCATTGCTTTACAAACCGAACCCTTTCGGCACAACCCATAAATTACCTCATCAAAGCTGGAACAAAAACGACAGAGAAACTTATCTAACATTTCGTCCATAAAGATGCAAGCTTCATCAATATCTCCTTGGCCAAACAGACCATCCAGCATAATCCTATGTGTCTGCAAGTTAACCCCAATACCCTTTAATGTCATCTCACTCACAAGCTCTCTGGCTCTACTAAGCTCACCATTATTGCATAAACCCTTCAATAAAATGTTATAAGTAATCAAATTAGGCTTGCACCCCAACTCTTCCATGGAAGAAATCATCTTTAATCCATCTTTCACCTTATTTTGCTTACACAATCCATTTACATACACATTGTAAGTATAAACATCAGGAACCAAACCCAACAGAAGCAATTCATCAAACAGCTCATCGGCGTTCTTGTAATCGCCTTTGGCAATGACACCATGTAAGACCATGGTATAGCAAACAATGTCAGGCTTAATTCCCTCCACTTTCATCTTAACCAAAACATTCAAAGCATCCAAACCCCTCCCCTGTTTCACCATATACCTAATCACATTTGAATAGTCCATCATACCAGGACAAAACCCAAGTTTCTTCATTTCTTCTACAAAACGCAGCACCTCAAAACCAGATGAATCTTTTTGTTCACAAAGTGATGACAATATCAAAGAGCACATCTTTACATTCAAACCATACCCATAACTGATCATACAATTCATTATCTCAATGGCATATCCAACCTTCCCAATTCCACACAGAGAATTGACTAAAATCTGAAAACTCGATTCTTCGAGCCGGATGCTCATAATATGGCTCCTCAGCAAAATCTCAGGCACCATTTTAAGACCTTCCCTAGACCCACAAAGCACATACAGCAAGGAGTTGAGCGAGTGAGCAGAAGGGACGCACCTGAACTTTGGAATCCTGTAAAAAAGATCAATGGCGTCCTGGGTTGTCTTAGCTTGGCCATAAAAACTAATGAGATGGGCGAAAATGTATTCGGGTGTGTTGAATTTCTCGACGGATTCAAGGCGGTCAAGAACTGAAGCGATGTCGTTGAATTGGGAGGTTTTGGTCAGGGTTTTGATGACAAAGTTGTACGCTTCAGGGTTTGGTTCACAGTTATAGCTGTTGAAGGAGTAAATGAGTGTGGAGAGAAGATGTTGGGGTTGGTTTTGAGGCGGTGATGATTTTTTGAGGCTTTGAAAGGCCTGGTTTTGATTGAAGGTTTGGTGCCATTTGGTGTTGTGGGGTGAGACTGGCCATTTCCTGTGTTTTCTCAGGAAAAATTTGCTGCTGGGTTTTAGAGCAGAGGCTCTCACCATTTTTGAAAAATTCGAAATTCAGATTATTGCGGATCATCTACTTGTTTCAACTCAAGGTCTCATGGGGCTCTTCCCATTTCTGCAATTTCTTAACTCCTTCAGCTTGGAAGCGAATGAAAATGGTGGGAGCAGGAGTAACGACAATAAAAGCCATGTCAAACTCTCAAAAAAAAAAAATCTCGTACATCATTTTTTTGTTGGATGGAAAGACCCACGGCCCAGTTTACGTTTGGGTTAGGGTTCTACGGCAAATGAGCTCGGCCCATGAAACTTTTTCTAACATGTATCACAAAAATTATGGCGTCTTCACCATGCCCCCACACATCCCACCCATCCTCCGACTTAAGCCCTCTCCCATCAATTCCACCCTTTCACTAAGAGTCTGGGCCTCACTCTTTTCAGCAGAGTTTAGGGAGATTAGTTTTCTGCTCATCCATCTAGATTGGAAAGCCGTAGCTTTGTAGTGTAAAGTTTTACTTTTCTGTTTGTGTGGTGCCTTAATCATAAAAATTTTATGATTAAGAACTTGGGTCGTGTGGTCAAGGACTGTCCATGTAATGTCTATCACAATTTGGGTATATTCGGTTTCATGATTGGAAACATATATGGAAGGCTTGATTTATCATAGAGGGGCACTCTGGCTTCTTTTCTGTACACCAATAGTGGCTGTGGTCAATGTTAGAATTTGAGTCAAAATATAATACAATGATCAATCTCATGTTAACGATGCTCTTCATGTGTGTTCTTTGCATAAAATCTCTAAATTAGGCATCAAAGTTTAGCTTTTGCTTATGTACTCAGTCTTTTAATCTATGCACTGAATTTTTATTATTTAATACAATGTGGCTGCTGCTGGGGAAAGCGAGTTGCAAAGACTGAAGGCTGAACTGAGGGCCAGCAATGCTCTCGAACTGCAGGTTTAGCACCCATATATGTCTTATCATATAACTTAAGTTTGTAGCTTGAGACTTGTCTATCAGCATGTCAGCAAACTTTGGTATTGCAAAGGAGAGAGGTATTTTTCTTGGCATTAGCAATTTTTTTTTCTGTGCGTACAAGTATATTACACTCCACCTAAATTCCAACTGAGATGTGCAGTATTAAGTGATCTTCTCTCTTTTTCTGTAGCTAGAGACACTGGCGGATCCAGGAATTTTTTAGCGGAGGTGCAATTTTGAAAGGCTAAAAACTCTTTGTGGATTGAACATCTAAGGCTTTTTACCTAGATTGACATTAGGTCCCTTCATACATTCATATCATACATGAAAAATTGTTCTATGTAAAAATATTGACTAAGTATGGAAAATGGTTTTTCGGAATAATCATTTCCTCAAGATAATTTTTGGCGGCTTTTATTCCTTACACATCAAATAAGAAAACTTGATTTTATGGGATTTTATTATGAAGTATATATTGACTTAATGAGCTATCATTTTTAGCCTAAATCGTATTTTGCACTAAAACCGATTTTTCAAATTTTGATTTTGGGGGAATTTGATTTTCTAGTATTTTTATTTGAATCCAAATGGGGAGTACTTCTTTATTTACATTGTAAACTTAAGTAAATTGAGTAATATAAAAATAAATGAAAGTAGAAAGACAAAGGCATTTACTTAAATGTTGAAGATGGAAATAAGGTAATCTGTACATCACCACCAGCTGTGCAAGAGGGCAATTTCAAATACCTACAATGATTTTTCTGGCGAGGGAAGGTGCAGCTACACCTCCTTGCTCCTTAACAGATCCGCCAGTGGCTAGAGATGCTGACAAGGATTGAAGGCAGGCTTCGCACGTTGAATTTGAATTGAAGGTACGCTTCTGTTTTAAGTTCACAAGGCAAATCCACGGGCTTTTATCTAATGTTTTTTTATATATTTCTTTTTTATTTCTGTGAGCAGGATAGTTAGGATTGTTGGCGTTTGTTCGAACTTCATATTGGAGCATCTTTTGAAGCCCACCAATATTCACTGTACTAACTATGTATTAGGAATATCTTTCTTACAATACCCTATATATTTGGATCCGGATTCTCTGTTTGGATTTTCTCTATCATAATCTGTTTTACTTTTCTTCTATGCATGCCACCTCATTAAAATTTTATTTAAAAAAACTTTAATGTTGACGCATCACACAAATAACCCAAATAGCTCACAATTTTATAATATAAAAAAATCATAACTAGAATTACAAAATCAAGAAATTCTGTGAAAAAAATTAAAATAATAGATTATACATGAGTAAAGATTTCTCTAGGAAAGCCATTCGTCTTCCAAGAAAAATAGATGCAGCCAACTATGCTCACTATTTGTTATTTTGGTTAAGATGTTTTGATTCATATTTCATACTTGAGAGATTGGGTTTATGATATGAAAGTCGTATCATAGTTGCATGATGAAATTTTAGGCATTAGCAAGAACTAAATTTCATATGGGAAGAGGAGAGACTGTGAGGTTGGAAAAGAGAGCGTGCTAGGATGTTGAAAAAAGTTGATGAAGGAAGAAGACTACGTTAACTCAAGTTAGTTCAAATGGGATTTTTTTTTCTTCTAAAATAAAAATTGTGAGCTATTTGGGTTTTGTGTGTGATGTGTTAACATTACCCTCCGTTTGGATGAGGGAAAATAACTCAGAATTTAGCTAAAAGTCAGGAATTTAAGAGGAGAATTTGACAATTCCCTTGTTTGGCAACTTAAACGCGGAATTTATTAAATGACGCATGGAAAAAATCGTGGAAATTGGGGCATCAAATTCCCGAGTTTAATTTCCACAAAAATAGACGTCATTTCACAATTTTTATAGTGCCATTTATAAAATTATGTTATTTACAAAATTCGACATACATAAATCCAAACACTAAAATCTTCAATTGCCAGAACTTGAAATGATGAAAATCTAAATTCCGTCATTTTAGAATTCTATGTAATTTTCAATTCCTTCATCCAAACGGAGGGTTAGAGTCCCTTAGATGAAATTTTAATGAGGTGGCGCGCATAGAAAAAATTGTAAAGCAGACCATGACCGAGAAAATCTAAGCAGAGGATTCGGAACCTAATGAGGTGGCGCTCATAGAAGAAAAGTAAAGCAGACAATGACAGAGAAAACCCAAGCAGAGGATCTAGATCCTATATATTTATATACGGAGCTTCTCCATTACGGAGTCCATCAATGCGAATTGGTTACGGAATTCTATTTTTGACTGTGGGATGATTTCAACGCTTCGGATTGGATATATACTCCTCTTCTTTTTTCTTTCTTCCTCTCCCCGAGTTCCTCTTTGGATTGGACTCCTTAAACCATCTCCTTAGATAAAATTTAGGGAGGAAGTGAGAAAACCCACCTCAAACCATGCTCCCTATCCAACTCTTAAAATAGAAAGACCTCCAGGAGCTCCTAAATCTGAGGTGAGAGAAATGATTCCTAATGACTCCCTATAATTAAATGATGCTTTACTTTAATGTTATTTTAAGTGTTCATTTATTTAATGCTTACTTTTAAAAAAAAATTATTTATATGAAGAGGGAGGATTTATGCTAAACTAAAAAAATAATAATAATAAATCATTTATGATTTCCTAAACTAGGGAGAATGGTTGGAGTTGGAATTTTCAAGGAGCTCCTAAAATAGCTTTCTAGTAGCTAAATTTTAACTAAAACATAAGGAGCATGATTGTTGATGCTCTAATACAACATAACTTTCAAGCTGAATTGTTGAGAGGGTTATAAGCTTTTTTCACCCTCACTCATGAACTAACCCGTAATTCTATATTTTAATGCCCTAATCAATTCTTGAGGCGAGTAATGATAACAATGGTTGCACATGAAGATAACCTCAATTTTAGAATTTTGTTTCTTCATCAATTAATATATAAATTCTAATCAGGTGAAATTAAGTTATAAATAAACTGATCTTAGTTTCAAATTTCAAAGCTCACCTAATGAGGTCCTTGTCGGGCATATTATCATCTTCGAACCACCCATCCTCTAGATTAACGTTCTCTGTATTATAAAATGTGTTAAAATATTTAGTCAGATATATACCTTCCACTGCCAATGAGCTTAGGGGTCTACGAACGAATATAAATGAGCAGATGTAATCTTCTGGATAGAGATTTGTTGTTTGATCATAATTGGGTGCGATATAAATCAAAAGATAATGGCATTCTTGGGAGGTTTGAGGTCAAGTTGAAGATTTGGAAAGAAGATGATACCATCACATATATATTCGTTTGTAATCCCCTCCCTGTTTGGCATGCTTCACTAAGCTTCACTGGACTGGACTGGATTAAATAGTCCTAAAAACCTATGTTTGGTAAGGAAGGGGATTAAGTTAAATGAGATTATATAGTCTAATGGGTAAAAAAGCATTGGACTCGCTTGTCTAATATAGCGAGCCCAAAACTTGGTTCGCTAAATAGCGATGGTGCTATTTTGTACACGGAGTCCTGCTGAATACCACCACCACCATCAAACACACGAGCCTGAAACATCAAACATACCACCATCAGCCCGATGCCACAACCATTAGACCACCACCATCAAACCCATAACCAGCCACCACATACCCAATCAAACCATCACCATCATCACTAGCCACCACTTTCAAAATATTAGAATTTTATTTATTTTTAGGCTAAAATCCTTAATTAAAATTAAATCTTTCAAAAATATGGATTACATACACACCAGGTGCTCTGTTTCCGGAATCATATGCTACAAGAATATTGATTAATTAATAGAAGCCAAGTCAAACATTAGGGTCGTACACATGGAACGACATGTCATTCTTAATGTTTTTGTTTGATGAAAAGACCCCTGGCCTAAACTATGGGCTGCAGCTCCACGGCAAATAAACCAAGCCGTCATTTAAGACCCCTTTAGATTTAGAAGGCTGCTTAAAAGTCTAAGTATCGCTTGGACCCAAAGTAAACTGATTTTCCCCATAAAAGCATATGCGCTCTCACCATTCACCATTCACCATTCACCAAACACTACTGTCTCTTGACCAGAAAAAAAACACTACTGTCTCTTGACCAAAAAAAAACACCACTGTCTTTCTTTCCCACACCTAAATCAAAATACAGGTGCTCATCGGCGACATATTTCATACCATGACACAACCAGAAGGTAGCGCACCATCAGTAGCATATGCTCATCCCGCCGTTGCGGTTGTCAGCCCTCACTTCTGCAGCCCCTACCCCGTGGATATTGCAATTGTTAGAAAACTTCTAACCATAGCCCATGGCAAATTTGAAGTCACTGATGTCAATGGCAACATCATTTTGAAAGTCAAAGGAGATCATTTACTTGACGCGGCTGGTTATCCCATTATCACTCTAAGACAGAAGGTAAAACCTTGTTAATCACCATAACACCATGGTATCTATTTATGTAGCTTTTGCACTTTAAGCCAGCTGCTTGTTTATGGACATTAGAGTTTATATATCCAAATTCGTAGTTTGACAACAATATAAGTTGTCGCAATGTCAAGTAAGTATTTCTGTTGTAGTTAACTGACTTATTCGTATCTTTTTGTGTAGTTGATGTCTGCACATGACAGATGGCAAGTTTTTAGGGGGGAAAGCACAAAATCCAGTGATCTGATTTTTAGTACTAAGAGATCTTCAATGGTCCAATTTCACACCAAATTAGATGTTTTCTTAGCACATAACACAACAGAGAAGGTACCTGACTTCAAGGTCAAAGGAAGTTGGTCTGCAAAATCCTGCGTCATATATGCTGGGGACGACTCCACCATTGTTGCCCAAGTAAGATTACTTTAATTAAGTTTATGAATCATGATCAACTACATTAACATTTATTACTTCTAGCATTTTTACTGCGTACTGACTGATTGGGATGTAATATGCTGTGGGAAAACATTGCAGATGCATAAGAAACGCACAGTTAAAAGTGAGTTGCTTGGAAAGGACCATTTCATGGTGACAGTGTATCCTGGGAATGATTATGCATTCATCGTCGCGCTTATTGTGATTCTTGATGAGATTATCACTGCTCGTATTTCCTACTGTTCCAACGTAATACGTCAAGGACTTGGACCATGAGTTGATTAGTTTAGATCCACTTCTTACTTTAATTAGAAAAGCACGCATATTTGTCCCTTTGGCCTAATTTATTCATTCATACTCATGATAGGGCATTGTAAACATGTTGGATTTTTTTTATTTAAAGAAGTTTTGTTACAACAATAAAAATAATATTGTTTTTATGATGTTGAACGTTGTGTATAATATAATTACTACCATCTACGTATCAATATGAAGATGTTTTAAGAATTACGAAGTTGTGTAATTATGTTATGTTTCAAAATTTATGTGACAATTTTTTAAAATTCACACGACAGCCTCTTAAGATTTTGTTTGTTTGTTGTTTTGTGCGTGTAATTGAATAAGGGCCTATTTGGGAGTGCTTCTGGAAGGGCCAAAAGCTCTTTTTGATAACTACAGCGTTTGACAAAAAAGTTTAGAAGTGCTTATGGGTCATAGAAGCGCTTTCTGGAGAAGCACCTGCTATGTGCTTCTTCAGGAAGCACGCCCAAGTGTTTTTTCACGAAGCACTTTAATTTTTTATGAAAATTTAAGATTTTTATAATAAAAGCGCTTTTGTTAGGAGCACTTATGAGCAGAAGTACTTTCTAGAGAAGCAGTCCCAAACGAGCCCTAAGTGTGTGAAATATGTAAATTAATCATTGACCCTTGACGAATGTGTCCAATGAATGTCATTATGTTGCCAAATTCCAGTATAATCTTCCTTTGTTGAATGCCATGTGATGGGCAATTGACGAGGATGATGACGAACTTGAAAGTCATGAACAGCCTTTGGTTTGGTGCATAATGAGTTTATTTGACTCTAGTCGTGATCAATGCGATCTGCTTCTCATGTTCATATATATTTCTCCACGTTTGCTGCTCCTCATGTTCACATGTTTCTCCTCCACAAGTGCTCCTCGTTAATTGGCTCTCTAATTTCCATATATTGGTTTATTACTCTTTCAGATTTCTTAAATTTCATGCATATTAGGTAATTCTTCATCTAGTATATGTTGAGACCCAAAAAATTCATGATTGGACCCGAATAAATTATCAGCCCGAAACGACAGTCCATTAAGAAAAAGCGTAAAGAAGAGTACACAAAACTCCATCACATGTGAATTACAGTTCATGTGCCACGCTAAATAAATAAATTCGCTAAGGGTTGAGATAAAATATACCGGGTCTACAAGCCCATGCCAAAATTAAACATCGCAGGACGATAAATTAAAACATGCCAAGCGACATGCCATGCCAAGCACGAAATCGTTATCTTACACCCAACCACGCTACAAGCCTAAGTGAGCCCAAGCCACTCAAACACCGGGGCTTACTTGAGTGGGTTGTGGTATGGACGGTAATAGATCAACATGAGACCCATTAATGGGCCGGGAAATGGAAAGTCTCGGGTTGTTTGGGAGCCTCGAGACTCAAACCCATTTCTTAGGCCCAAATATGTGGGTAAGCATAAGAGAGAAAATAGCCCAATAGCCCAATAGCCCAAGCAAAGTAGCATATTAATACAAACAAAAAGCCCAATGTTTAACAAAAAGCCTATCTGCTTAGGGAACCACCTTGGCCCATATAAAACTCCAAAAAATAACCCACAAAAGCCTCAGCCCTTTTGAAAAAATAGAAGCCACATGAGGAAGGTTGGCAGATTCATTGAGCAAAGCTGCTGGGAGGTTCCATCATATGCAGGGAGCAAGTTTCAAGCCAGAGACGCTCAAAGAACCAAGGAATACTAGCCTGCAGGCTGTCAGAAGCACCCTTTGGACCAGCATATATTTTCACTTTCTTTCCTTCATCAGATTTGGCCAAAGAAGGGGGAAGGAAAGAAGAAAAAACAGTAGCTAAGAATGGAAGTTCCCACTAAACAACTGCAGGAAAGGGGACATTGAGCTCCCAAATTTCCTGAATTCGTGCAAATAGACAGAGGCAATTTTTGCCAAGATAGGGAAGTCAAAGAAGAAGAGGAGAAATGAGGAAAAAGCTTAGCCAATATGGGTAGAAGCCATTAGGGTTTCTTGAAAAATAGTGGTTTCTAGCGGCTATAAATTGAGGCTTCTCCTACCTAACGAGGGCAACTCAGATTCAGAGAGCATACCTTCTCTCTAACTTGCAAAAACCCAGCAACCTCATGCACTGTTCATCTTTTTCTCCATTTTGTTCTTCTAGCAGCTGTCAGAAGAACTTTGCTCTTCATTTTCCATTTCCTAGCCAAATCCCTCACAAAATATCTCATTCCTTACCTTAACACTTTCTTTTCTCATAAAGCAAGCCTAAATTCTCTCTTAGTGCTAAACTCATGTTGATTTTGCTCTCATGCCACATGCCACTCACGCTGAGCTAAAATGATTATCTGTAAGCATGCCAAAACCATCTGTAAGTTACCATTATTCTGGTTGGTGAAGATAGCCAAAATATTTCCTAAGGCTTTGCTGCCCTTTTGAAGTATTTTTGGGGCTTAATTTTTGAACCCAAACAAAGGGGACAGTCTCCTCAGTCTGCCATTTACGGCAGCCCAGCCTATTATAGCTGCAGGAAGAAAAAGTCCCCTACAGTATATTGGAAAACGATTTGGCCTCAACAACTTATATCCCACAACTAAAACATATGACTCAAGTTAGTTAGAGTGGATGTGCTCCCCACTATGTATTTGAGTTCAAATCCATTTACCTGTAGCGATCCAAATAACAATTTGAAGTATGATTCTACAGAAAAAATGAACCGGCCCATGAACGAACCCATAATTTTGTTTGAAAAAGAGAGAATCAAAGGGTCATGCTAAAATAGGCCTTTGTAACTCAAATATCATAGATGAAAACCCACCAATAATAATACAATGTTTAAGTAAAATTGAATTTTAAAATTGGGTGACAATGTGTCCATATAAGTTGATTTATTTACAAATTTTGCCACTAAATCTTTAATGTCATCTCACTCACAAGCTCTGTGGCCCTACTAAGCTCACCATTATTGCATAAACCCATCCGCCGACTTAAGCCCTCTCCCATCAATTCCACCCTTTCACTAAGAGTCTGGGCCTCACTCTGGGCTTCTGTTTCAGCAGAGTTTAGGGAGATTAGTTTTCTGCTCATCCATCTAGATTGGAAAGCCGTAGCTTTGTAGTGTAAAGTTTTACCTTTCTGTTTGTGTGGTGCCTTAATCATAAAAATTTTATGATTAAGAACTTGGGTCGTGTGGTCAAGGGCTGTCCATGTAATGTCTATCACAATTTGGGTATATTCGGTTTCATGATTGGAAACATATATGGAAGGCTTGATTTATCATAGAGGGGCCACTCTGGCTTCTTTTCTGTACACCAATAGTGGTTGTGGTCAATGTTAGAATTTTGAGTCAAAATATAATACAATGATCAATCTCATGTTAACGATGCTCTTCATGTGTGTTCTTTGCATAAAATCTCTAAATTAGGCATCAAAGTTTAGCTTTTGCTTATGTACTCAGTCTTTTAATCTATGCACTGAATTTTTATTATTTAATAGAATGTGGCTGCTGCTGGGGAAAGAGAGTTGGAAAGACTGAAGGCTGAACTGAGGGCCAGCAATGCTCTCGAACTGCAGGTTTAGCACCCATATGTCTTATCATATGCCTTATCATATAACTTAAGTTTGTAGCTTGAGACTTATCTATCAGCATGTCAGCAAACTTTGGTATTGCAAAGGAGAGAGGTATTTTTCTTGGCATTAGCATATATTTTTCTATGCGTACAAGTTTATTACACTCCACCTAAATTCCAACTGAGATGTGCAGTATTAAGTGATCTTCTCTCTTTTTCTGTAGCTAGAGATGCTGACAAGGATTGAAGGCAGGCTTAGCACGTTGAATTTGAATTGAAGGTACGCTACCGTTTTAAGTTCGCAAGGCAAATCCACGGGCTTTTATCTAATGTTTTTTTATTTCTTTTTTATTTCTGTGAGCAGGATCGCTAGGATTGTTGGTGTTTGTTCGAACTTCATATTGGAGCATCTTTTGAAGCCCACCAATATTCATTGTACTAACTATGTATTAGGAATATCTTTCTTACAATACCCTATATATTTGGATCCAGATTCTCTGCTTGGATTTTCTCTGTCATAGTCTGTTTTACTTTTCTTCTATGCATGCCGCCTCATTAAAATTTTATCTAAAAAAACTTTAATGTTGACACATCACACAAAAAACCCAAATAGCTCACAATTACATATATATATATATATATATATATAAATCATAACTAGAATTACAAAATCAAGAAATTCTGTGAAAGAAAATTAAAATAATAGATTATACATGAGTAAAGATTGCTCTAGGAAGGCCATTCGTCTTCCAAGAAAAACAGATGCAGCCAATTGTGCTCGCTATTTGTTATTTTGGTTAAGATGTTTTGATTCGTATTTCATACTTGAGAGATTGGGTTTATGATATGAAAGTAGTATCATAGTTGCATGATGAAATTTTAGGCATTAGCAAGAACTGAATTTCATATGGGAAGAGGAGAGATTGTGAGGTTGGAAAAGAGAGCGTGCTGGGATGTTGAAAAAAGTTGATGAAGGAAGAAGACTACGTTAACTCAAGTTAGTTCAAATGAGATTTTTTTTCCTTCTAAAATAAAAATTGTGAGCTATTTGGGTTTTGTGTGTGATGTGTTAACATTCCCTCATATGAAATTTTAATGAGGTGGCGTGCATAGAAAAAAAAGTAAAGCAGACCATGACCGAGAAAATCCAAGCAGAGGATTCGGAACCTAATGAGGTGGCGCTCATAGAAGAAAAGTAAAGCAAACCATGGTAGAGAAAATCCAAGCAGAGGATCCAGATCCTATATATTTATATACGGAGCTTCTCCATTACGGAGTCCATCAATGCGAATTGGTTACGGAATTCTATTTTTGACTGTGGGATGATTTCAACACTTCGGGTTGGATATATACTCCTCTTCTTTTTCTTTCTTCCTTTCCCCAAGTTCCACTTTGGATTGGACTCCTTAAACCATCTCCTTAGATAAAATTTAGGGAGGAAGTGAGAAAACCCACCTCAAACCATGCTCCCTATCCAACTCCTAAAATAGAAAGACCTCCAGGAGCTCCTAAATCTGAGAAGAGAGAAATGACTCCTAGTGACTCCCTATAATTAAATGATGCTTTACTTTAATGTTATTTTAGGTGTTCATTTATTTAATGCTTACTTTTTTTAAAATTATTTATATGAAGAGGGAGGATTTATGCTAAACTAAAAAAATAAATAAATCATTTATGATTTGCTAAACTAGGGAGCATGGTTGGAGTTGGAATTTTCAAGGAGCTCCTAAATAGATTTCTAGTAACTAAATTTTAACTAAAACAAAAGGAGCATGATTGTTGATGCTCTAATACAACATAAATTTCAAGCTGAATTGTTGAGAGGGTTATAAGCTTTTTTCACCCTCACTCATGAACTAACCCGTAATTCTATATTTTAATGCCCTAATCAATTCTTGAAGCGAGTAACGATAACAATGGTTGAACATGAAGATAACCTCGATTTTAGATTTTTTTTTCTTCATCAATTAATATATAAATTCTAATCATGTGAAATTAAGTTATAAATAAACTAATCTTAGTTTCAAATTTAAAAGCTCACCTAATGAGGTCCTTGTCGGGCCTATTATCATCTTCGAACCACCCATCCTCTGGATTAACGTTCTCTGTATTATAAAATATGTTAATATATTTAGTTAGATATATACCTTCCACTGCCAATGAGCTTAGGGGTCTACGAACAAATATAGATGAGCAGGTGTAATCTTCTGGATAGAGATTTGTTGTTTGATCATAATTGGGTGCGATATAAATAAAAAGATAATGGCATTCTTGGGACCTTCGAAGCATCATCTTGTAGATCTAGATTTTTCATAATAAATGAAACTAATGTATGGATTACATACACACGAGGTGCTCTGTTTCCGGAATCATATGCTACAAGAATATTGATTAATTAATAGAAGCCAAGTCAAACATTAGGGTCGTACATCATGGAACGACATGTCATTCTTAATGTTTTTGTTTGATGAAAAGACCCATGGCCTAAATTATGGGTTGCAGCTCCACGGCAAATAAACCAAGCCTTCATTTAAGACCCCTTTAGATTTAGAATGCTGCTTAAAAGTCTACGCATTGGTTGGGCTTGCTTTGTTGTAGACGAAAACGGACAATGTACGAAACAGGTTTTCGCTTGGACCCAAAGTAAACTGATTATTCCCCATAAAAGCGTACGCGCTCTCACCATTCACCAAACACTATTGTCTTTCTTTCCCAAACCTAAATCAAAATACAGGTGCTCATCGGCGACATATTTCATACCATGACACAACCAGAAGCTAGCGCACCATCAGTAGCATATGCTCATCCCGCCGTTGCGGTTGTCAGCCCTCACTTCTGCAGCCCCTACCCCGTGGATATTGCAATTGTTAGAAAACTTCTAACCATAGCCCATGGCAGCTTTGTAGTCACTGATGTCAATGGCAACATCATTTTGAAAGTCAAAGGAGATCATTTACTTGACGCGGCTGGTTATCCCATTATCACACTAAGACAGAAGGTAAAACCTTGTTAATCATCATAACACCATGGTGTCTATTTATGTAGCTTTTGCACCTTAAGCCAGCTGCTTGTTTGTGGGCATTAGAGTTTCTAGAGTAAGATTGCTTCATCAATAGTCCAAATTTGTAGTTTGACAACAATATATTACTACGTATTTCTGTTGTAGTTAACTGACTTATTCGTATCTTTTTGTGTAGTTGATTTCTGCACATGAGAGATGGCAAGTTTTTAGGGGGAAAAGCACAAAATCCAGGGATCTGATTTTTAGCACTAAGAGATCTTCAATGGTCCAATTTAAGACCAAGTTAGATGTTTTCTTAGCACATAACACAACAGAGAAGGTACCTGACTTCAAGGTCAAAGGAAGTTGGTCTGAAAAATCCTGCGTCATATATGCTGGGGATGACTCCACCATTGTTGCCCAAGTAAGATTACTTTAATTAAGTTTATGAATCATGATCAACTACATTAACATTTATTACTTCTAGCATATTTACTACGTACTGACTGATTGGGATGTAATATGCTGTGGGAAAACATTGCAGATGCATAAGAAGCGCACAGTTAAAAGTGAGTTGCTTGGAAAGGACCATTTCATGGTGACAGTGTATCCTGGGATTGATTATGCATTCATCGTCGCGCTTATTGTGATTCTTGATGAGATTAACACTGCTAGTATTCCTACTGTTCCAACTTAATGTATCAAGGATTAGGATCATGAGTTGATTAGTTTAGATCCACTTCTTACTTTAATTAGGAAACGATGCATATTTGTCCCTTTGGCCTAATTTATTCTTTCATACCCATGATAGGGGATTGTAAACGTGTTGGATTTTTTTTATTTAAAGAAGTTTTGTTACAACAATAAAAATAATATTGTTTTTGTGATGTTGAACGTTGTGTATAATATGATTACTACCATCTACGTATCAGTACGAAGATGTTTTAAGAATCACGAAGTTGTGTAATTATGATATGTTTCAAAATTTATGTGACAATTTTTTAAAATTCACACCACAGCCTCTTAAGATTTTGTTTGTTTGTTGTTTTGTGCGAGTATAACTAGCAACTATTAAAAGGGTTTAGAATATTGCATGCTTGATGTGTCTCCAGATTGAATAAGTGTGAAATATGTAAATTAATCATTGACCCTTGACGAATGTGTCCAATGAATGTCATTATGTTGCCAAATTCCAGTATGATCTTCCTTTGTTGAATGCCATGTGATGGGCAATTGACGAGGATGATGACGAACTTGAAAGTCATAAACAGCCTTTGGTTTGGTGCATAATGAGTTTATTTGACTCTAGTCGTGATCAATGCGATCTGCTTCTCATGTTCATATATATTTCTCCACGTTTGCTGCTCCTCATGTTCACATGTTTCTCCTCCACAAGTGCTCCTCGTTAATTGGCTCTCTAATTTCCATATATTGGTTTATTACTCTTTCAGATTTCTTAAATTTCATGCAAATTAGGTTATTCTTCATTTAGTATATTGGAAAACGATTTGGCCTCAACAACTTATATCCCACAACTAAAACATATGACTCAAGTTGGGTAGAGTGAATGTACTTCCCAATATGTATTTGAGTTCAAATCCATTTACCCATAGCGATCCGAATAACAATTTGAATTATGATTCTACGGAAAAAATGAACCGGCCCATGAACCAACCCATAATTTTGTTTGAAAAAGAGAGAATAAAAGGGTCATGCTAAAATAGGCCTTTGTAACTCAAATATCATAAACGACTAGCCTCTTGGCACATGCTCACGCATGTGCCAATTGGTTTTCTTTTTTCTTTTTTATTTTATTTTTAGAATTAAAAAAGATAATGAGTAGTTGTGTTCCATAAAAATATGATTCATTATCTTATTTTTCTTTTAATTTTAATTTTTTTAATATGAAAAAGTGTGAATTTATCATATTATCCTCATTTAATTAATAATTTCAATTCTTAATGTTTGCATTAACCAAGGACATTTTCTGGTATTTTGAATGTTTCACCATTCTCTGTCTTTTGCTTTATATATATAGATAGATAACCCACTAATAATAATACAATGTTTAAGTAAAATCCAATTTTAAAATTGGATGCCAATGTGTCCATGTAAGTTGATTTATTTACAAATTCTGCCACTAGATCTTTATTTGATGGCTGACTGTTTTTCATCCCCTAATTTTATGCAAATGAATTATACCTCTCACTACACATTTATATTTGTACTCCTGTAATAATGGCCTACAATCAAATTAGTTCAAATACTCCCTCTTAACCTCCTATAGGTCGGATAAATGATTTTTATTTATTTATACCTACACCCTCCAATTATATATATTTACCTAATATCCTTCAATCCTAGTGATTGAGTTTTATTTGAAAAAAATGGGTATTTTAAATAGAAAAACAAAGGGAAGGACTCACCAAAAAAAAAAAGTGGCAACAGTCACCATTATTTGGTGACATTTGGTAAATGTTGCCACTTTTTTTTGTAGTGGCTGTAGGTGATTAAAAATGAATTTTATGGGTCTAATCTCAATTTACTAAATAAAATATACAAATTTATAAATAAACCCAATTCTAGACTTGTATTTATAAAAAAACCCAAGCACTATTTAAACATAGAAACACACCCAAAATCAACATCAAAATCAACAATTGTATATTTTTGGGTGTGTTTATAAATGGGTTTTGAGTGTGTGTAATGATGAGTTTTAGGTGTGTTTATAAAGTGTTTTGGGTGTTGGGTTTTTTTATAATTTCAACCCCCATTTTGGGTGTTTTAGTGAAACTCCCAATAAAATAACACTTTATTTTTTGCTGGGATATATAATAGGGAGTTTCACTAATACACTCAAAATAGGGGCTGAAATTATAAAAAAAACCCCACATGAAAAACGCTTTATAAACACACCCAAAACCCATTTTTTAAACACACTCAAAACCCATTTATAAACACACTCAAAACCCATTTATAAACACACCCAAAAAAATATACAATTGTTGATTTTTTGGTTTATTTTGGGTGTGTTTCTATGTTTTAAATAGTGTTGGGTATATTTATAATTTCATGTCTAGAATTGGGTGTTTCACTAATTTTGTATATATAATAACACTTCCAAACAAAATTGTCTTCACCATGCCTACACAATCCAAACGTATAATTATTTTCAGTCTCAGATATTTTAATATGAATTAGCACAGGCATGTCGCCATGACTTCGTCTAATATAAATTATGAGATAAACTTCCAACTTCAAACTTTGAACCAAAAAGTTGGTGTAATAAGAGGATTGAATTGTGAGGAATAAACCAAGCCACCTTTCCAGAACCCTCTATAGACTATAGTATTTGTTTAAAAGTCGACAATTTCAAGTTCTACGCATTGGCTTGACTTGCTTTGTTTTAAACGGAAACGGTCAATACACGAAACACGTTTTGGCATGTCCTCATTTCATAAAATATCAATCTCACCATTCACCAAACATTGTTGCCGTTCTTTCTATCCTAAACCAAATCAAAATACAGGTGCTCATCGGTATCCGCCATTTCTCTTACCATGAAACAACCAGAAGCTAGCGCACCATCGTTAGCCTACGGTAATCCGGCATCATTAGAGTACGCTGATCCCGGGACAATAGCCTATGCTCATCCCGCCGTTGCGATCGTCAGCCCTCACTTCTGCAGCCCCCAACCCGTAGATCTTGCAATTGTTAGAAAAGTTTTGACCATAACCGATGGCAACTTTGTAGTCTCTGATATCAATGGCAACATCATTTTTAAAGTCAAAGGAGCTCATTTAACCCTTCGTGACCACAGGATCTTACTTGACACAGCTGGTTATCCCATCATTACTCTAAGAAAGAAGGTAAAACTTTGTTAGTTAACATAACACATGAAAAAAACCATGTATAAGGTTTTTATGTAGCTTTTGCACTTTAAACCTTGTTTGTGAACGTTTAGGTTTATAGGGTAAGAGCGTAATATTTTTAGATTGTGAACTTGGTAAAACATAATAGTTTGAATTCGTAGTCTGATAATAAATTGACACTCGGTCTAGCAAGAGAACCTTTACGAGAGTTTATACTAATTTTCTTGTATGTACTTAACTGATTCATATGTATATTTATGTGCAGTTCATAAGTGCACATGATAGATGGCAAGTTTTTAGAGGGGATAGCACAGAAACAAGGGATCTGATTTTTAGTGCTAAGAGGTCTTCGATGTTCCAATTTAAGACCAAATTGGATATTTTCTTAGCAAATAACATAGCCGAGAAAGCACCTGACTTCAGGATCAAAGGAAGTTGGTTTGAACGATCTTGTGTCATATATGGTGGGAACTCTTCCACCATCGTTGCCCAAGTAAGATTACTTTAATTAATCTTCTAATCAACTACATTAATATTAATTAATTACTGCATCAACTGTGTACTGACTGCGATATAATATCTTTGTGGGGAAAATATTGCAGATGCATAAGAAGCGGACAGTTAAAAGCGTGCTGTTTGGAAAGGACAATTTCATGGTGACAGTGTACCCAGGCATTGACCATGCATTCATTATCGCGCTTATTGTGATTCTTGATGAGATTAATGAAAATTAATACCAAGGATTGAGTAGATTAGTTTGGATCTACTTTGTTACTCTAATGAGGAAACGATGGATCTTTGTTGCTATCCCTTTGGCCTTTGCCTTTGTTAATATTCATAAATATTAAGATTTATTTTAGTATATGTTGCTCGATTATAATTTCCATTTGATAAATGACATATGAATGTGATGATGCACTCACTCGTATTGATTTGACATTTGTGGCTAAAATCTCACATTCCTCACATATCTTTTCTTCTTCTAAATTTTCAACCTTTGTTGCCCTTATGTTCATATCTTTCTCCACGTTCTCTACTTTCTATTGGTTTCTTTCTGTTTCAAATTTCTCAAATTTTGCAAGTAATCAGGAAAGCCTCTAATATACTAAACACATACGATTTGCCCTAAAAAACTTATTTCCCATGATCTTATATATAAAAGGAGATTTACGTAAGGGAGTATTTTTGCTCACTATACTTTAACCCAAGGTTACAATCTTTCTCATCACTTGACACGTGTTCATATGTATCAATTATTAAGTATAGTGATGCAACCAATATTGAGATTATAAGCAAACTCACCAAGATTGTGTTTTCATAAATAAAGTTTTTGACCCTCTCACTCTTCGACATAAGGTAATTACAAGTAATTGGTGCAACAAATATTCCTAATAATAGAACTTTAATTATGCCCCTAAATATTCAAAATCACAACTAGCTCTTGCTTTTTGTTCTTTTATTTTTTTTGCTTTCTCCCTTGTTACATACATATGTAAAGATTACATTATACTTATTTACACAGAAATAACTGAGTCAATAACATTTAAAATAAATAATTTTCAAATCACAAAATTGGAAATGAAATATTTGTCTTTCATCCATGTAATTATTGGATATGGGATTTATTCCCCCACGCACTACGTCCACGCGTGAACAAGAGGGCTCCGCCACTTCACGCAATTGCAATTTTCACTCTCAATCGGATTCAGACACGCCGACAGATTCCCTCCCACTATGTGAACACGTCAACGCAAACGAACAAAGCCCAGCTCGGTCAACTCTATCTCATTTCTCTATTCTCATCCTTCAATAAATATCAGAACAAAAAAATATATATATATCCTTCAATAAATAATACCCAATCTATCCGATCAGTGATCACACCCCAAAAACAATCAAGCTCTGCAAGTGTGGGTGAGAAACTAACGACATGTCTTATACGGTGCCGGTGCCGGCAGCTGGGCCGAGCGCTCAGCCACTGGCGAACCCAGTGACCGTGGTCAGCCCACAGTTCCACGCAACGTACCCAGTGGATCTGGTGATCACGGAGAAGATGATGAGCCTCAAGGAAGGTACATTCACAGTCTCCGATGTCAACGGCAATCTCATGTTCAAGATCAAAGGCTCCCTGTTCAGCCTTCACGACCGCCGCGTTTTGGTCGACGGTGCCGACACTCCGATCCTCTCTTTTCGACAAAAGGTACCGACCTGTTTTTGTATTTCATGGGTTGGCGACACGTGTACGTACTGAGATAGTTATAGTGAATCGCAGTAATTAAGTTAAATGGGTTAATTAGAATTTACACCCCCATGTTGATCTCATATAAGGTCAAATCAAAACAGCTCTAAAGCACTAAAAAATTACACTCCCCATGTTTCTGCTTTGATCTAGTTTGATCATAGTGCTCTTATTTGGGTTGATTTAGATATTGACAGCGCATAGGAGATGGCACGTATATCGAGGAGAGAGCTCAGACGCCAAAGATTTACTTTTCACTGCGAAGAAGTCATCGTTTTTCCAGTTAAAGACTGAATTAGATGTGTTCTTGGCTGCTAATACAAAAGAAGAGCAATATGATTTCAAGGTAAAAGGAAGTTGGGGGGAGAGATCATGCACCATATACACTGGAGACAACACCATCATTGCTCAAGTAAGATTTAGCATATTATCCATCAGTTTCATCATGATGCATGATGCATGATGATGATATAACATATATAATGTATTAATGTGAATGCAGATGCACAAGAAACATGATGTTAAAAGTGCTTTGTTTGGAAGAGATGCATTTGGAGTTACTGTGTACCCTCATGTTGATTACGCCTTTATAGTTGCTGTTGTGGTCATTCTTCACGAGATTAATATGGATAGGAGCGGGGAAGACTGAAGCTGTGATGTGAATCGTGATGCTCCTTCTTAATTACAATAAAATTATAATTATAATGAATAAATTAGTGATTTTCACTTGTAATGTCACTTAACCCTAATGGAATTTCCAAGACTACTTCTATTGTGTTTTCTGGAATCTTACGAATGAATAAATGAATGTTTGTGCCTCTGCTTTTGGATAAATTTTGAGTGGCACTGCTTTATAATTTCTCGTTGACTTGAGCTTAAACATGATTAGTTACCAAAAGAAAAAGGCAGATTAATGTTTTAGAAACCATATGAATATGAATAATGCTGATGTGGCATCTTACTTGGACATACCTCATTTAATTTCATTTTAAGTTATCTTATTTTCATTCATTTCGGTTAATATATTTAATAATTATTATAATAATAAACTTTGTCAGACTTCTCATATTCTTGCATCCTCCTCTTCCACCACTCTTCGTCTACCCAATCAATTTCCTCCTCCCTCTTGAGAAAATCAGACACCGAGACAAAGCCACAAGGAATCGATAGAGAAAAAGCACATTAAGGAAAAAGCAAAGATACCAGCACAAAAACAAAACTACCAACACCACCGTCGAGAAGACAGAGGCAGAGTGTAAAGGGGCTTATGGAGCATAAAAGCATCTTATTATGAAGAATGAAAACGCCCCTGCCATGACAATCCCAGAATGGTAGTATCATGGACCTTACCATTCTTAGCCCTCAGTTCAAGGATTTCCAACTCTTTGGATGGGCTAACCACCACCTCACACAGCTTTGTTTCATCGGGTGCACTCTGAGTACTACAAGTGGCGCCAAGTGGCCGTATCCCTCTTCTAATTCCACCTGTCAACTCTTTTCATGGACTCACCACCACCTGACAAAGCATTGAATCATTGATTGCAGACTGAGCAACACCAGTGGAACCTTGTGCCCGTCTAGGCCCCCCTTTAGCACCAGCTCTAATCCCCAAGGTTCCTCTAGTAAGTTTTGGAGAGCAGCCTGGGCTAAGTGACGGAAGAAATTTTTTTCCTTTTTGAAGGGGGATTGCAAACACCCTCAACAACAAATTTCTCCTTACCACATTTCTGTTGTGTAGGTTGCACCGTATTTCTTGTGGGATCGGATTCAGTATTCAAGGATGCCAGCTTGTGGACTGCGACATCTTCCACGAGAACCGCATGAATATTCTCGGACTCATCAGATTCAGTATACAACGTTCGTCCATTGCGTTACAAATCCAAGGCTAGCTAGTAATCTTGACATGCTTTAATCCAAGTGTAGGGTGATTTTCATTTTGCACTCCATTGCTAAAATAAAAAGTCTAATATCCTTACATAAGGGGAGAATATTAATGGCCAACAAATCGAATACTAACCATACTCAATCGAAGGTCTGATTTGAGTTAAATTGTAATACTTGGCTTTGGTTCGGTTGATTGTGAGTTAATTATTAGTCAATCCGCAACTTTAATCCAGTAATTCGATTTTCTTATCAATTATAAAATTAAATAAATAGTACCTATATCAAATTAGACATTGGATCTAGTACAGCCAATATTCGATTTGTTCGGCATACATATTCACCCCTAACGAAGGTTATGTTTCCATTCATGTTTCATTGACTCAATTTTTATACATGCGTATCTAATTATGGGCAACTGGGGAGTTTTAAACATCATTCTTGCACTCGAAATTGAGTCTCTCACATTCCTCTAAAATTCAAATAATCAAATCCTCTCTCTCTCTCTCTCATAATTAGTTAGGTGTGGGTATCGAGACCGGAAAATCGGAACACCAAGCCGCACCGAATGGAAAAATATGAAAAAAAATCGTGTTGACTAAAAAGTCAACACACAGGCACTGAATCGGACTATACCAGCTTTGTATTTTTTTATTTTATTTTTTAAATTATTCAAGTCCAATGCTAAATTTCTAATCCCATAATTGATATCTCTCCAAACCCAACTTTAAAGCACCTCTCTTTTATAGACTCAATCATCTCTTATTACAAGTAATTGGGTCATTTGTGAATTTTTAAGCCCAATGAATAAAATTTTAGTTGAAATTTGTATATGTATATATATATATACAAAGTTTACAAACCACGGATTGAGCTTGTCTTCATGCTCAATCCATTTCAATCCATCTTAATTCGAATCAAGTAGCATTCTCTAGCATTGAAACAAAACCTACTAATTCTTTTCGATGGTGCCCAGAGCCAGGTACAGCTCGTCGAACTTGAAGAAATCGAAGGTGAAAAAGACAGTCTACCAGTGTAAGCTTCACGGCCGATCTCTTTGTCTGAGCTGCTTTAGATCTAAATTCTCTCAATTTCGTTTTGCATTGGTTGCTCTAGCTTTAGGTCTGTTTGCCTATTTCTTTTTGAATTTGTAGCTTTTTCTTGACATTTGCGATTTTATGAAAGTTTTCATGTCCCATACTAAAAAAGCAAGGTCTCTTTATGTCAAATTGAAGACTGTGTTGAGAAGAATATTTCTCTGTGTATTGATAGAGCCAAAAGGCTAATAATTTATAGAGATTTTTACAAATTCTACAAGGAATCCTAGGTTTACTTGGAGACTACTCCTAAATCAATTACAATCAATTACAGAAAAGGAAATAAAGAAACTTCATAATTTCCAACACTCCCCCTCAAGTTGGAGCATGGATATCAAGAATGCCCAACTTGCATACAAGATTGTGAAAAGCATTACTTCCAATGGCTTTTATGCCCAAATCTGCTAACTGTGACGCGGATGGAACAAAGAAGGTAGCAATCTGTCCACCTTGTATCTTCTCTCGAACCACGTGACAATCAATCTCAATGTGTTTCGTTCCTTCGTGGTAAACAGTATGTACGACAATATGAAGGGTTGCTTGGTTGTCACAAAACAACTTTGCAAGACCTAAATTGGTAACTTGTAGATCTTTCAAAAGATATCGTAACCAAGTCAGCGCACAAGTAGCAGCTGCCATGGAACAATATTCTGCTTTAGCAGATGAACGAGATACCGTTTTCTGTTTCTTTGTCTTCCAGGATATAAGTGAATTCCCAAGAAAAACACAGTAGCCTGAAGTGGATCTTCTTGTCATGGGGTAGTTTGCCTAATTAGAATCACAATAACCTATCAAATGCAACTTGATGTTTGAAGAGAAAAGTAATCCTTGACCTGGACTACCTTTCAGATAGCAAAGAATACGTAAAGCGGCATCCAAATGTGATTTCCTCGATCGATGCATAAATTGGCTCAGAATGTTGACTGCATAAGTAATCTCTGGCTGAGTAATTGTAAGGTAGATTAATCTTCCCACCAATCGTCTAAAATGTGAAGGATCGTTGAGCACTTCACCATCACTGTTTGTGAGCTTAAAGTTTTGCTCCATAGGGAAGTCTACTGGTTGAGCACCTAGAAGACATGCATCATCGAGTATATCAAGTGTGTACTTTCGTTGAGAGATCATAATTCCCTCCTTTGATCTTGCAATCTCTAGCCCAAGAAAATACTCCAAATCTCCCAAATCTTTAATGTGAAACTAATTATGAAGAAAAAAACTTCAAGTAAGGTGTAGCATTCTCGTCATTGCCTGTGATCACCATGTCATCAGCATAGATTAAAACAACAGTAAATGATGTACCACAAGTACGAGTGAAGATAGAATAATCTGAGAGAGATTGTGTAAATCTTGCTTGCTGAATGGCAATAGAAAACTTGTGAAACCAATTGCGAGGAGCTTGTTTGAGACCATAAAGGGACTTGTGTAGTCGACAAACCAAAGTACTCTCCCTTTGTCGACAAAGGCCCAGAGGAGGGGTCATGTAAACTTCTTCATGGAGATCACCATGGAGAAAGGCATTGTTAACATCCATCTGATAAAGAGGTCACTGATGATCAGAAGCAATGGCTAGTACTCAACGAATGGTGACCAATTTCACAATAGGAGCAAATGTTTTAGTAAAATCAAGGCCTTCTGGTTGAGTAAAGCCTTGGGCAACAAGACGAGCTTTGTAACACTCAATAGAACCATCAGAATTGTACTTGATCCGATATACCCACCGACTGTCAATTGCACACTTGCCATATGGGAGTGGAACCAACGACCAAGTGTTTTGTTGGGCAAGCGCTTGTAGTTTGGCATCCATAGCGGTACGCTAGTGAGGGTCAAGTGAAGCCCGAGTATAAGAAGTGGGCTCAACAGCACTTGAAATTTGGTTAACAAAACCTTTGTGTGAAATAGATAGAAAGGTGTAAGAAATGTAATTGGACAAGGGAAACCGTGTACCTGATTTCTTGGAAGATGATGGCCTATTTGTAGCTTGATTGTAGTGAAAATCACGTAAGAGAATGGATGGTTGAGAGACACGTTGGCTACGGCGAAGTGGTGGAGAGGTTGGGACGTTTTCTGGGGAAGGAGAGTCAGAAACATTGTCAATGTCAAGGGGCGATCGATCGTTATGAAAGGTGCGATCGATCGTTTTGTCAATGGGAGAGTTCGAATGTTCTCTGTCAAAAAGCGATCGATCACCAGAGGATGGGCGATTGATTTTTTCTAGGCAGTTTGTGGTTTTGAACTTTGTTTGAGGTTGGGATTGTGTTTCAGAGGGAAAAATGTCTAGAAACATGTTAGGAAAAGGTGCGGAAGTAATGGGATGTGTGTTTGATAATGAGGTGTGGTAAGGAAAGACATGTTCATGAAACACGACGTCACAGGTAGAGAAAAACTTGTGTGTGAAAAGGTCATAAACTCTATAAGTCTTTTGGCCCAATGGATATCCCACAAATGCACAACAACGAGCCATAGGTGAAAATTTGGAAGGTGAGTTAGTGTTGGTAGCATAACAAAGGCACCCAAAGACATGAAGATGAGTATATGTGAGAGGTGTTTGGTGAAGCATTTCATATGATGATTTTTTGTTGAGGGTAGGTGTGGGAAGGCAATTGATGAGGTAGGCAGTAGTGAGAACACTTTCTCCCCAAAAAGAGAGAGGAAGATGAGCTTGAAATTGAAGAGCTCGACCAACATTAAGTAAGTGCCTATGTTTGCGTTCAACCACTCTATTTTGTTGTGGAGTGGAAGGATGTGAGTGTTGAAAAGTGATGTCATGTTCACCAAAGAAAGAGATCATATACACAAATTCAGTCCCATTATCGGAACGAACACTTTTGACAGATAACGGATTTTTTGACGATCTCGCTAACTGATGGGGCAAATTGTAGGATTTCCGCGACATTGAGTATGTACTGGTAAATGTCCCCAAAATCGGGTATGAACTCGTAAATGACCCTATAGGTTGGGGGGTTTACTGTAGTTTGTCCTATTTTATATATGAGTTATTTATAATATATGAGTTTCTTTATTATGGCGTCTTTTTAATACATGGGTTATTGATTATATATGAGTTTCTTTCTAATATATGAGTTTCTCTATAATATATGGGTTCTTGATTATATATGGGTTATGCATAAAATATGGGTTCTTGAATATATATGTGTTTCTTTATACTATACGGGCTCTTGATTATCTATGAGTTTCTTATATAGGTTCTTGATTATATACGAGTTCTTTATAATATATGGGTTTCTTCATTATGGCTACTTGATTATATATGGGTTTCTTCATACCATATGGGTTGTTGATGTTCAATGATAGCTCACCAGAAAAGGCTATTATCGTTGCTCCATGTGGTGGGCCAAATGTTCGAAAAACTATATTCATTGGATTCAACAGGTGGACCAGCGAAACATCATATTTTGATTCTGTTATTAATTATCTCAGGTTTCTTTATACATTTATAAATGTATATATGCCTAAACATCTTTATTTGTTATTAATTATCTCAGGTTTCTATCTGCTGATAATGACAGGACCCGTCCCGAATTTCCCGGAACCCGAGACGAACCCTGCGGAGACCCCGGCATCACACCCACGCCGGGTTTACTCCTTAAATCTACGTCCTCGTTTACCAGAGAGGATTTAGGGCACGAGACTTTCTGCCAAAATTTCGGCAGAGTCTCCCCTGTAAATTAAACATTCCCCAAAATTTCCACCTGCAAAAAAACACATTTTATAACCCAACCAGCAGCACGCACAATATAATCTCAGGCAATTTACATAAATGGCCTCCAGCCTTCAAATGATTCTAGCAGAACTACTCACACTGCTTTTAAAATAACTCCATGCATCAAACATGCACAGAACCAATTCAAAATCTAACTATGCACACCTTCGCTCACTCAGTCCACCGGACCAATCTCAATTCAACCAAGTTTCGGGACCAACCACGAGGTCCGCATCATACACAATGAAACCACCTAAGTGGTGTCTAAGTCGTGGCTGCACCTAGGCGCTATCCCAGGCTGCCTACGTACCCTACTAAGGGATCAAGCCACACGTAGCTCTTTCCTATCAATCCTGGCTCCTGATATCAATTAAACCATTACATCCATATAAATTCATACATTCTCGGGTTTATCCATCACAACACACCAAACATAATCACATAGCTCCCACTCATACGTCGGGACGCACCCGGCCACGTACGGGGTCTGTCAACACGCCGGCTAATCCAAAGACGCGTGCGACCTCACACTGGGCCTGGCTACATTCTCACCAGCCATCATACCATCCTATCTCCCACTCATACGTCGGGACGCACCCGGCCACGTACGGGGTCTGTCAACACGCCGGCTAATCCAAAGACGCGTGCGACCTCACACTGGGCCTGGCTACATTCTCACCAGCCCTTATACCACCATATCACCCACTCATACGTCGGGACGTACCCGGCCACGTACGGGGCCTGTCAACACGCCGGCTAATCCAAAGACGCGTGCGACCTCACACTGGGCCTGGCTACATTCTCACCAGCCCTTATACCATCATATCACCCACTCATACGTCGGGACGTACCCGGCCACGTACGGGGCCTGTCAACACGCCGGCTAATCCAAAGACGCGTGCGACCTCACACTGGGCCTGGCTACATTCTCACCAGCCCTTATACCACCATATCACCCACTCATACGTCGGGACGTACCCGGCCACGTACGGGGCCTGTCAACACGCCGGCTAATCCAAAGACGCGTGCGACCTCACACTGGGCCTGGCTACATTCTCACCAGCCCTTATACCATCATATCACCCACTCATACGTCGGGACGTACCCGGCCACGTACGGGGTCTGTCAACACGCCGGCTAATCCAAAGACGTGTGCGACCTCACACTGGGCCTGGCTACATTCTCACCAGCCCTTATACCACCATATCACCCACTCATACGTCGGGACGTACCCGGCCACGTACGGGGCCTGTCAACACGCCGGCTAATCCAAAGACGCGTGCGACCTCACACTGGGCCTGGCTACATTCTCACCAGCCCTTATACCATCATATCACCCACTCATACGTCGGGACGTACCCGGCCACGTACGGGGCCTGTCAACACGCCGGCTAATCCAAAGACGCGTGCGACCTCACACTGGGCCTGGCTACATTCTCACCAGCCCTTATACCATCATCATACGTCGGGACGTACCCGGCCACGTACGGGGCCTGTCAACATAATCACAATATGGGGGTACGTGGGGTAGTGCGTATAGCACTGTAAACTAACATTCAATCTCCTTATATATCATTATACATCCACACAATCAATTAAATATATCATGTAATTTCTAATCATACAATAACATCCACCAATAAAATATTCCATAAACTCCCACATTTAAATTCACCAATTTATATCCTAAACCCACAATATCCATTTTACTCAACAACGCTCAAGACCTGTCACTAAGGTCATTCTAACCCTCAAGGAAAGGCAAGACTATCTCGGGAGTCTCACGGTCAACCTAGGGTCAAACGGGCCTGCGGGGCCCACAACCTCCAAATTCCGATCCGAAAGTTCCTAGAGGTTCTACAAGCTCTAGGACACATGTCCTGCAAGTTTGGTCCAGATCGAACGGTCGGATCGCTCACGATCACGCGATCGGACGGTTACTAAAACCCTAACCCCAGGGTTGGCATTTCCGGAGTATCCGGGACTCCGTTTTACGACCCGTCGAATCCTACACGATCTTGGTAATACTTAGATCAACATCTTATAATATCAGGACCATCCAACGGTCCAAACCCAGCGAACCCGGAAAACACGCGATATGCGATATCCGTTCGGGACTCTAACAATATCCAAATTGAGATCCGAGCGCACCTACGCGCTCATGACAACCTGAGGATCCCATTGGGACAAAAATGCCCCTCAGCTACAGTGCCCACGCGCCGCCACACGCGCCGGCAGCGCGTGGGTGTCCAAAGCGATATCGCATCGCCGGAAAACTTCCAAATCGAAAGCCAAGACTCCTACCCTAGGTAATACACCTAATTTGGAGTCACTTTTGTTCTTGGACGTACCCCAAAAACTGACCGGAAGTGGCCGGAATCTCATCCCGAAATCCGGCCGAACCCTAACTCGAAAATCAGATAATCTAGGCTCAAAATCGATGCAATCCTACCCAACCATCAGCTAGATCATGCAGAAGGGATGAATTTCCATACCTTGATCGCCAAAAATGGCGGCCGGACGACGGAGAACGAAGCCGGCGAAGTTTCGGGCGAAACCGAGCTTTTCTCTTCGATTTTCCGGCGAAATCTCGACGGCTGACGGCGATACCTGGCTGGGGTAGGAAGAGGACGGCGGCCCGGTCATTTTGGTACCGGCCCCGTCAACTTTGGTGGCCGGACGAGAGCACGGCCGGCCAAAACGTGGCCGGCCACAGTGGCTGTCGCGAAAACCAGAGGAGAGAGAGAGGGACGCGCGGGAGAGAGAGAGTGTGAGAGAGACGGGGGCAATTCCGTCTTTTAACCAAAAATCCCACTTCAAAATATTTACGATTATGCCACTGAGCTTCATTTGATCATATCTCTCTCGTTACAACTCCGATTCGAGCCCACTACATGTCTACGAACTCATCTCGCCGTGCTCTACGCAACGGTACATCCGAAATTCCCAAATTCCTTCCGGGCAAGAAAATGACTAAAATACCCCTATCCCACGGGTAATTTCTCAATTCCACTTAAATAATTTAAAACATGGGATAATTTGGGGTCGGGGTGTTACAGATAAGCAGCCTTCTCTCATTATCCTAGTATATCGAATGACCATAGTGAAGGGTAGCTTTATTAAAAGTTTTGATAGAGGGTTGTTGAAAGATCACAACCGAGTCAAGTTCGAATTGAGGAACCTGGCCAGGTTGAATTTTATGATTGGAACGTTTGTTGTAGGGTTTTATATATGGTCTGAAATTAAACTTAACGGAAGGAAGATGGCAAGACTGGGATACCCACATTAGCTATTGAGTGAAGTGTTACTTGAATCAATATGCCTTTTTAAGAGGAGGTAAATTCTTTTATATTTGTTTGATTAGTGAAACAATTATTAATCATTAGTATGGCTTATTTTATAATTAGTAATTTTTAAATTGCTACAGTGATATCGCTGATACAAAGCCTGAGAATTGATACCAGGATGACAAAGGAGTTGTGACTTATATTATAAGGTTTACAATACATTCTATATTAATAAATTTTTATGTCTTTAGTTCTTTTAATTTTCTTTACATCTCATCACTTGCAGTTTATTTAACTTTTCAGGTTTCATAGTGATGGAGGTATACAAGTTCGTGATGACCATTTCAACTTATTGGGCTGGATTTTTGATAAATCATGCTCCAATTATGATGAACTTTCAGCACAAATATCATTTTGTGCGAGAAGATGAGGACTTGAAGAACCTTACACAACAAGGTTTGAAGGTACTGAACCTAGTGATTGTGTGCCAACACAAGAAATCACACAATTCTTTGCCAAGTTGAAATGGATAGAACTCTACGCAATTAGGTAATTATATAGTTGTGCAATGTTGATTTATTGTGCATTGAATGTCGAGTGATGGAAATGGGAAATAATATTGATTTTGCTTTTGTTTTGTATTGTTAAGGGACGGAGATGGAAATGAAGATGATGTTGTGCAAGGAGATGATGATGTGCAAGTAGATGATGAAAATAATGCTATCATGTGTTTTTCCAATTATGTAGTTATACAAATTGTGCATTGAATGTTAAGTGATAGAAATGGAAAATAATATTGATTTTGCTTGTGTTTGTATTGTTAAGCGACGAAGATGGAATTGTGGACATGAAAATGAAATGGAAGAAAATGAGAGTGAAGTGGAAGAAAATGAGGGTTCATTAGAAGAAATTGAGGGTGATGATGACTTGGAAGAAATTGCAAATGGTGCAGTAGGTGAAAACAAAAATGAAGAAGTGGAAGAGAAGGCAGTTGATGAAATTATCTAGTTATAGCATACTGATTTTATTTTGCGTATTGGCATTCTTGTTAAGGAAATGGGGTAACCTTTATATTTGTTTTTGTTATTTCCGACCATGAAATTGAGTCTCTCCTATTTGTTTCTATTAAGGTTACCTCAAATTACAGACATCGCTGATAGATTTCATGTCATGTTCTACATTTGGTCCAAAACTTAAATTGATGGATGTAGGATGACGATGCTAATATACCAACATATTATTTCGTATTAATTTTCTAAACATTATATTATTTCTTATTAATCATCTCTCATGACTCTATAACCTAATTAACAACCTTCCCCCATTATTTCTGTTTTTTTCCGACCATGTTGTGCAAGGAGATGATGGAAATGTAGATGTTGTGCAAGAAAATGATGCAGATAATGAAAAAGTACAAGACAATGATGTTGTGCAATAAGATGATGGAAATGATGTTGTCATGTATGTTTCCAATTATGTAGTTATACAACATTGGTTTTATTGTGGATTTAATGTTAACTGATGGAAATGATGGAAATGAAAATGAGAAGCACAAGTAAATAATATTGATATTGCTTTTGTTTTGTATTGTTAAGGAACAGAGATGGAATTGTGGCCATGAAAATGAAGTGGAAGAAAAGGATAGTTAGTTGGAAGAAAATGAGAGTTAAGTAGAAGAATTAAGGGTGATGATGAATTGGAAGAAATTGTAGATGATGCAGTGGATGAAATAAAAAATGAAGAAGTGGAAGAGAATGCAATGGATGAAATTATCTAGTTATAGCATACTAATTTTATTTTGTGTATTAGTATTCCTTGTTAAGGAGATGAGGTAACATTTATATTTGTTTCTGTTTATTTCCGACCATGAAATTGAGTCTCTCATATTCCTGTCAAATTCTAATAATCAAATAACCTCTCTCTCTCTCTCTCTCTCTCTCTCTCTCTCTCTCTCCTCTCTCTCTCTCTCTCTCTCTCTCTCTCTCTCTCTAAGTGCATGAGCCAGTAATAATGGTGGAATTACAGACATCGCTGATAGATTTCATGCTATGTTCCACATTTGGTCCAAAACTTAAATTGATGGATGTAGGATGACGATGCTAATAATATCAGCATATTATTTCGTATTAATTTTTTAAACATCATATTATTTCTTATTAATCATCTCTCAGGACTCTATAACTTAATCAACAACCTTTCCCCATTATTTCTATTTATTTTCGACCATGTTGTACAAGGAGATGATGGAAATGTAAAGGTTGTGCAAGAAAATGATGCAGATAATGAAAAAGTACAAGACAATGATGTTGTGCAATAAGATGACTGAAATGATGTTGTCATGTATGTTTTGCAATTATGTAATTATACAACATTGATTTTATTGCGGATTTAATGTTAAGTGATGGAAATGATGAAGATGAAAATGGGAAGCACAAGTAAATAATATTGATATTGCTTTTGTTTTGTATTGTTAAGGGACAAAGATGAAATTGTGGCCACGAAAATGAAGTGGAAGAAAAAGATAGTTAGTTGGAAGAAAATGAGAGTTAAGTGGAAGAATTAAAGGTGATGATGAATTGGAAGAAATTGCAGATGATGCAGTGGATGAAAATAAAAAATGAAGAAGTGGAAGAGAAGGCAGTGGATGAAATTATCAAGTTGTAGCATACTGATTTTATTTTGTATATTAGCATTCCTTGTTAAGGAAATGAGGTAACCTTTATATCTGTTTCTGTTTATTTCTGACCATGAAATTAAGTCTCTCACATTCCTATCAAATTCTAATAATCAAATCCTCTCTCTCTCTCTCTCTCTCTCTCTCTCTCTCTCTCTCTCTCTCTCTCTCTCTCTCTCTCTCTCTCTCTCTCTCTATATATATATATATATATATGTGCATGAGCTAGTAATAATGGTGGAATTACAGACATCGTTGATAGATTTCATGTCATGTTCTATATTTGGTCCAAAACTCAAATTGATGGATGTAGGATGACGATGCTAATATACTAACATATTATTTCGTATTAATTTTCTAAACATTATATTATTTCTTATTAATCATCTCTCAGGACTCTATAACCTAATCAACAACCTTCCCTCATGAGTCAAAGCTACAAGTTCATCAGTGTAGTAGAAGTGTGATAAGTCAACTTTTAATTGAATCAATATGCCTTACTAAGAGAAGTCGACCTGTTATATTTATTTGATTTGTGAAATAATTGGTAATGATCTAAATTGTTTGATATTATATTTTTAAATTACTACCAATGATGAGGTCGATGACACATCAACTACTACCCAGTTTTGCCAACATCAATGTGACAATTATAAGGAATGGAAGTTCAAACTTTAAGTGGGTTTTTAGGTCAGTTGTTATGAATCAAGTTCCAAGCTTGTTTTGGAAAGTTCCATTCCAACATTGATCAACTTAAAACAAGCATAATCCCTTGAATTCAAAATTGATCAACCTAAACAACTTACAAATAACCTAAACTAACAAATGAAAGTTCAAACTTTAACAATCCAAAGTTCAAATTACAACAAACATAATTATTGTAGGGCATGTTATTGTAGGGTATCTAAAGTTCAAACTTTAAGATGCAATGGAAGCTTAATTGGTGAATTTGATAGAGGCTTGTTGGGGCATGTTATTGTTACTCCTCGTGGTGGGCCAAACACTCCAAATACACTATACATTGGAAGCCGCATGTAGGTCATCGAGTTTTTTTAAACAATCATATTTTGATACTTTATATATGTATATATACCTACTAATTTTCTAAACATCATATTATTTATTATTAGTTCTCTCTTAGGACTTTATGGTCTAATCATCAACTTTCTCCCGTCATTTATATCTACAAAATGGTAAGATGCAAGGGTAGCTTAATTGGTGAATTTGCTAGAGACTTTTTAGGGGATCACAACCTAGTCCAACATGAGTTGAGGACGATGTATATATACCTATTAGTTTTCTAAATATCATATTATTTTTTTATTAATTATCTCTCATGACTCTATGGCCTAATCAACAGTGTTCTCCCATTAGCCAAAGCTAGGCAATGATTGCACATGGGTTACATATTAGCTTATAATTATTATTTTCCTAACATATTTATTTGCCACACAAATTTAATTGACTACAACATTCCATATATATTTATGAAGAATTTTATATTTCATCCTTTAAGAGTTTTGTGCAGTGATCAGTCAATGCCGGCTGGAGGCATTAAGAAGCTTGGATCAAGACGCAACCTGCAACTTCTTAATGAAACCACCAAGAAGGTAAATGCAGATAACATCTGAGCGGTCCGATTAACTTTTCAATCTCTAATAAATCAAGATGAGACGAAGTTGATTTCTTTATTTTTGTGTACAGGTCCTTAATTCCAATTACAAGGGGAAGCCAGGCCCACCCACCGCCACCCAGACCATGATGAAAGAACTATTATTATGTGGTAAATTGCTGAAATAAATGAATTGCTGATTTCATACTGACTCCACTAAACGCGAGTACCGTCCCGAAAACGAAATTCCATCCAAGAGTTATTTACACTAACATTTAAGGGCGGATTCATAAATTTTTCAATAGGTGGGCTAACTAAAGTTATTAACTCAAAATCTAATGATCAATTTTTTTTGTGCTTACCATTTCTATAGTCGTTCTATAAATAAAAGTATACATTAAATCATATAAACCATGCTAATTCATAGCTTGATTGACTAATTTTCAAATTATAGCATAAAACAAATAAATATTAAACATGACCAAAAACACATATTATCAAAATTAAAATATGTTCAGCAACAGAATTAAAAGTGTACTTATTTAAGTTGTATCACGTAATTCTTGAGAAAATTGAAATTTTTTGTTATTACTCGGGGGCTTCATATTAGACATAACTTATAAAGAAAAAGAACCATACCACACACATAATTAATCTGGATGTGTTTGAAGGCATAAAACACTGACAATGCTAATTTAAACCAACCCAACATTGGGTTGTCAAGTAAGAGTATCATACAATTACTACTTTCATCAAAGCCATGTTGTGGTAGAGACTCTCCACCGAAAAAAAATTGTTGTGGTAAAGCCTAAGCAAAAATACGTTTCTAAAAAATATTTTTTTGTTCTTACGTAGAAAGAAGCCTTCAACATTTGTTATAGGTCTGTAAAATTAACGGAGTTAGCAATAATTTGGACAAGAATTACAAAAGACTATTCTGACTCAAAATAATAATAAAGAATTACAAAAGACTAAACATGTATTTTGTCCTATCCAGACACTATTGGGACTCAACATCCCACATTGGAAAATAACATATTAGCTCATAAGCATCCTTCCCTTACAAGCTGGTTCTTAGTGGCAAAAAAAAAATTTGGTCAAATAGGGGCAAGTTCTACCCGTGGATTCTTAACATTGATATCAGAGCCTGTCTTCACCACGCAATTGGGCTTAGGCGACGTATAGGCTCAATTAAGATGATATCGAGTCATTGATCCCACATTGGAAAAATAGCAATCATAAAGTGGTTTAAGAGCTCATAGGCACCCTTCTGTTACAAGCCTGCTTAAATTCTACCCATGGGTTCTTAGCACACTAACTTCCAGGTATGGATTCAAGTCGAACACTTACTGAAAAATGTGATCTCTTTTTCAATACTGGAATAATTAAGATACTTTCCCATTACAAAATATTGCTCCACAAAACATTGTTATATAACGTTGCATGTTATTGTTTTTAATTAAACTATTGAATTCTACTCATGTAGTGTCACTGTCAACTGCATATTACCATACCAGACATAATTTCCAAACAAAACCATACCATACACATGGTTAATTTCCATGGATGTTTGAAGGTTTCTAGTACGAAATAGCATTGGGGTTGTCGAGAAGTATAAGGCTCTTAATAAAAGAATCCATAAACCGGTACTCTCGCTACTGTCCATGGATCTATTCCAAAATCACTACATTTTTTGGTGTTAGGGTCCACCTAGCAATGAAACTTTTGATCACCCAACAACATCCCTACGAGCACGAACACAACTTCACCACCCTTTCTAAAGCCAAACGGCTCCACCAACATTCCTTCACAACCAAGCGGCCTTACCACAATTTCTTGCTTGCGTATCATGATTCTGCAACACCATACTCTTTTATCGCCCACAAGTGAAAACAAGAAACATAAACACTTCCATCGGACCGCCGCTTTTCACGTTGCTCAAAGAAAGCAAGCGACTCTCCGTATCTTGAAACAAAGCAAAAATCTGTTCCCACTCCCCTTCTTCTGCGTATCCGAAAAGCTGCTTTGAGCAACAGGATCTTGCCAAATAATTCAGCGGACAAATCAAATGACACGATGAGCTTATTGTCCTCGTGTATAACAGACTGCCGAATCCAATGCAGAGCACCTTTAACAAAAGCATGTTTATTATCATCGGTAGGCCCTCCAGGCAAGAAATTTGCAGGAGCACCAGCAAGGCAACACTAAGAATCTTCCAGGATCCCCTGGCAAAGGACCAAATCTCAACTTCATGTTCATAGCAGACAGGCTTTACAATTTTCAAAACCCTATAGTCTTCGGTACGCGAATCATAGCCAAATGCTTATGCCCGAATAGGGTAACACGAGGCAGAGGCAAAAACAAAAACTTTCTAATACACGGGTTCCAAATTAATGTGGTAATGCGCTGATCGTGGATGCATATGAGCCCGTTACAAGTTTCGGCCACCAATAGATATTCTTTTGTTAGTTCATACTCTTCTTGACGTCTTTTAATTTCATTGTAAGTGATCTTTAGATGAGGTCTTATCTCTTAATCGTTGGATCAAACTAACTAATTTGATTCAATGGCTAACTAATCTGATCTAACGGTTAAGAGATAGAGTTTTATCTAAGGGCCTTATATAAAACCCTAACTATAGAATTCTACCTGACTAGAATACCTTTTTAATAAATATTTATAGGTGGTTCCGGGTTCTTTGGACTAGAATTACAAAAGACTAAAAATAAGAAGCTATATGATTGTAATTTCTAAGTGTGAGTTAAAATTTACAACCTCAAGATTTAATCAGAACCATTCAACTTTGAACAAGTCAAGGAACTCAATAAATTCTGCAACTGCCAGCCAATTTCGATGATATGCCTCTCTTGTGCCCTCAGCTAGTGTGTGACAATACAATAGAATACGATGTCGTTTGCGGTGCCTGTGCCTTCAGCTGGACCAAGCGCTCCGCCTCTGTCGAACCCCGTGGTCGTGGTCAACTCACAGTTCCTATCATCCTACCCTGTGGATCTAGTCATTAGCGAGAAGCTCATGACCATTAAGGAGGGCTCATTCGCTATCTCCGATGTTAACGGCAACGTCATGTTCAACGTTAAAGGTTCTGTTCTCAGCCTTCATGATCATCGTGTGTTGGTTGACAGCGCCGGTGCTCCTATCCTCACATTTCGACAAAAGGTACATACAAAAATTAAATCACATTGTAATTTGCATGTGCCAATTAATAATACTGCTTGTTCTAAATTGTTGTGTTTGTTTTTTAATTTTGAGCATTAGATATTGACAGCACATAGGAGATGGCAAGTATACAAAGGAGATAGCTCAGACAGCAAAGAGCTACTTTTTAGTGCCAAGAAGTCGGGGATTATTCAACTAAAGACTGAATTGGATGTGTTCTTGGCTTCTAACACAAAAGAAGACACCCATGATTTCAAGGTCAAAGGCAGTTTTAAGGAAAGATCATGCACCATATATACTAAAGAGAACACCATCATTGCACAAGTAAGATCAATCATATAGTTAAATTCGTTCCATTGATTTCTTTTCTATTTTTTTTAAGGTAAATGATAGAAATGAATGAGTGCTGATATTTATATTTATATTTATGTTACAGATGCATAAGCAAGTCGGTGTTAAAAATCGTGTGTTAGGAAAAGATGCGTTTTCAGTGACAGTGTACCCTCAGGTTGATTTCGGATTTATAGTTGCTGTTGTGGTGATTCTTCATGAGATTAATCAGGATCGAAAGGGGGAAGATTAGCGAAGCTGATCATAATTCATTTGTAATAAGTTAGCTGCTACTTGAATTTTCATCATATGAATTGAATAAAATGATTTCCTTAATTATACTTATGTCATTCAAACCAATCAAGACCTGTTGTGTAACTTAAACTATGAAAAACTTTTACATTTTAGTATATTTAATTTCTGTCGGGGCATGTTTACTTTGCAATTTATCAATTTAAGCGATCCGATATTGGAAGAAGAGGAAATCCAAATACAGTATCTTCGGATACAATACTTTGAGTGCTAGAACTCAAGTTATTAGCATTGAAATGGATTTAAAAAAACAAGCAAAAAAAGAAAAGGAGGGCCCGGGGCAAGATTAACCACAAAGGCAAAGGGCATGCACAAACATAATAGATCGAATTGATTGGACTTGATCAACTCAATCCTTGATATTAATCGCCATTATCAAGGTTAATTGCATCAAGAATCACAATAAGCGCAACTATGAATGCATAATCAATGCCAGGAGAAATTGTCACTATGAAAGTATCCTTGGCAAACAAGTTAGCAGTCTGCTTCTTATGCATCTGCAATATTTCTTACAACATTCTGAGTCATTATATTTTTCTATAAAGGAAAGAAGTAAACAAATGAAATCACTATAACAAGTAGTTTATCAACAAATTAAGGAAATATATCGATCTTAACTTGGGAAATGATGGTAGAAGGGTTCCCAGCATATATGACGCAAGATCGTTGGAGCCAACTTCCTTTGATTTTGAAGTCAGGTGCATTCTCAGTGGTGTTATTTGCTAAGAAAACATGCAATGTGGTCTTCAATTGGAACCCTGAAGATCGCTTAGCAAGTTAGCACTAAAAATCAAATCCCTTGATTCTTTGCTATCACCCCTAAACACTTGCCATCCATCGTCGAAACTCACGAACTACGTATATATGCACATATAAACAAATCAACAAGACTATCGCATGAAACGAAGATGTTAATTCAAATCTCATAAACGACAGTTGTTAATTAATTAACAAACCTTACATCGGGGTAGAATGAGAATGGGATTTCCAGCAGAGTCAATTAAGAGTCGACGCCCGGTGGAGTGAGAGTGTTTTTGTTCCCCTTTGAAGATGATATTGACATCGATGTCAGTGACTACAAGGTTGCCTACAGTGAAGGAGAGCATGCCTTTTCTTACAATTCTAATATCAACAGGATGGTGGGGCTGCAGTACCGACGGCTGATGATGGGAACAGAGTTAGGGAACAGTACACTTCGTATTAGCATCATCATTATGCTAATTAAGAGAGATTAATGTGTGATCAAGCCCTTGATTTATGTTAATAATAAGGTTTCCTTGTTGTATTTATAGATAAGGCCACGTCATAATCATATGTACGTGGAATGTAATGTTTCTTTCAGAGTCATCGTTGACTACTAAGACATGAGAATTGATGAATTCTTGTTCTAAAAATTCTATGTAAATAGGTTTGGCTCTTTCCTCCTTTCTATATTAATTATATGGTTGACAAAACGCTATGGTCCAAAGTTGGAAGTTATCTCATAATTTACGTGATGATGTGATGTTGTTATTTTCTTGGAAGGAAATTATGGGCCGCTGTTTTGTTGGACGGAAATGATGAGCTCTTGTTTTTCTTTCTTGGAAAACATTGAAAGGCAACTATTGGACAAGGGTAAATGAAAGGGATATGTTCTAGTTGAATTTGATCTAAAATTCAAGCAATTGTCAAAACAACTGAGTTATTACATGTATAATGTAGTTTGTGACACGAATAAAGTTTAATTCACAAAGAAATTATAGAAATTTGCGTATCTATAATCAACGACATTAATTGATATGACAATATATATCAATTATCATATTATATGATCAATTATAGAATTTTGATTTATATTTTTCATTATGGAAATTTTTTATTATAGTGAGTAATAGTTCTGGTTGTTCGATGTTCAATAATTCTTGTTTAGGCACTTCGTACTATCCAATGTTTATTCGAACCCATATCATTCAAAACTTGCTGAAAACCAAAATATCTATATATAAGAAAGAAAAAGAAGAAAAAGCAGCCAATTTAATTATTGTGCTTAACTGTGTTGATTAACAATGAGTGGTGCATGTGGTCGCACAATTGAGAGACTTGTAAACCGAAAGAGATGGGAAGACCAGTCAACGAAATTGTCTGGTATGAGTGTGGGTGGTCAACGTCAAGATTGAGAGGATATATCGAGGAAAATCATATGGTTTTGAAGATCTTGTGGTTGTGCAGTAATTGGAGGCTGATTGTATATAACATTGATTTGCACAAACATCAAACATGGCTTCATCATTATTTTCATGTCTAGCACTCACGGTTTGGAGCTACCAAACCAGCACTCACGGGCCTATCAAAATTAAATTAAATAAATACATTTAAAAAAATTTAAAAGAAGAAGAAGAAGAAGCAGCTTTGACTAGCATGCAGTTCTGTTGGAATTCTATATTAAATTTAGCTGGGCATTATTGACAGACAAACATCCATGGAATGTTTTTCTTTTACAATTTGCTTTGGCCTGTGAAGTAAACTGCCCTCTATTAATATGGAAATTCCCTTTTAGCTCTTACCTACCACTTTGCATTAAAAATTGGATCCCTTTTTTCTTTTGGGGTCAATAAAAATTGGATCCCTTTAACCTAATGAAAAGGGTCACGAGGAAAGTTTAATTCCACTCTTCTCTCATGCAATTTGGGCATGGTATCAAATGTTCCTGGTGTGCTTCTTTTAGGCGTGGAGGATTTAAATTTAATCATTTGAAATGGTTGTGGATTAGACATGGATGAGGTGTGACAGATTTATTAATTGGTCTTTAATTATCACATTGCTGAAGTCAAAGGTCTACAGAAACATAACCATCATCCCATTATGATCTCTTTAATATTATCCTTAATAGGATCATATGAGTATTTGTTGTTGTGTGTGTTTATTTTAGGATCTTTTATATTGAGAGGGGCGATAGTATATTAAACTCACACACATTACACGGATGCTAGAACTCAAACTCAAAACTTTTCTTGGAAGAACAATTATTCCAAAACACTACAATATTAGTGGGTCCTTTGCGTTGCTGTGTTTTTATGTATAGAGGCAAACATAGCTAAGGATCCACCTGCAAAATTTTAAAAGGGATGGCGATCTCAAGGTTTTTTGTTTGTTTTTTTATTTGGGTTAAAAAATGATCCCCACTAGATGGAAATATAAATTAAACAAAAGGATCTTATGACATTATAATCCAAAATAAAAGAAGAATAACCTCAGGCTCCTGTAGTATGAAAATTTTCTCTTTTTTGATTCCGTAGCATGTCTTATTGGACCATACTTAACTTAAAAGTTACTGACCCCAAAAACAAACTTGAAGGTTAAACTCTAATAAACTACTAGTTTTAATTTGATTTGTGCCTCCACAGAAGAAAACATATCTAGTTTTAATTTTAATTCTATTCATGTATGAAACTACTTCTAAAGTTCTAAAAACTACCAAAGAAATAGCAACAACACCCGCCTAGCTAGGAGGTTCTTGTAAGCAAGAAAAAGTCACTAGGTTAGATTATTGCCATATAATTAATCAAATAATCATTTCATAAAAATTACATGTGGATGTTGTTAGGATAAAATAGCTCATATTTACGAAATCTTATCCCAATACTACACTAATTTTAGAATGGAGCTATTCACGTTTTACCCTTTACACACTCCTATACTTGTGCAGTGAGAAGTGTAGAAGTGCTCGAAAAAAACACCTGGAGGATATATGCACGTTGACACAGAGCGTGAAAGCGAATCGAAAAATTACGAATTTACGCTACCTTATTTTTAAATATAAACAACTCTGGAATAAATAAAAAGTAAAACTAAATCTCAAAATAATATTTTGATGGTATCAAAATGAAGAATTGAAGTAATTGAAGAAGAAATGCAAATAACTCTTGGTGGAAAGCTTGGTTTATATCCATGAAAAGTGGAACACATGAAAGAGAGACAAGGCCGGCCCGATTGAGACATACAATACTTTGCTTTCTTATCCACAAAAGTCCCCATTATGACTTTTCTATGCTTATTATCACCACCACTGACTAGGTGACCACCCCAACCTTACCTTTACTATGAATTTAGGATCACTCGTAAGAATAAATATAATATAAAATAAATATGACCAAAATTAAAAAATAAAAATTACCAAAAAGAAAAGTAAAAGGACATTTTCCCATGGTCTGACGTGTACACAAATACAGTATAGTGACCGTATAAAGAGCTATGCGGTTAGGCGGAAGCTCTTCGCGCGTTTTATCCACGTGGCGCGTGAGCTGTTGAAATTCAACTAGTTCCGGAAAAGCATACTAAACTTGGCGACAGCTTAGGATAGGCGTAGAGAGAGAGAGAGAGAGAGAGATTGAACAAAGAAATATAAAGGGAGAGCGAAGAGGAAATTGAAATGAAAGCATTTTGGTAAAGAAAGAGATAAAAGAAGGAAAGAAAAATCCAAAATCCAATTTCTTTCCTGTAAAAGACTGCAAATTTCCCAAAAGCTTATTAGGGTTTCGAAGTTTCCACCTATCCAAACAAGAAAAGCATGGCGGGGAATTTTCCGGGAAAGTGAGTTGTTGTGGGTTATCTTGTTAGTTGCGATTCTGTTTCATTTTTAGACCGAGGGGAAGTTTCTGCTGCACCAGAAAGTCTTAGAGAGAGAGAGAGAAAGATGATAGTAGCGTCGTCGTCATCATCGTCGTCTTCAGCGACTGTGGCTGTCGACAAGGCGACGAGCGATCTTCTGATAAGCCCTGATTGGACTATGAACATAGATATCTGTGATTCCGTCAATTCTCATCATTGGTAATATATGTGCTTCAAAGCTTTTTGCTTTATCTTGGTTTTGTTTTTTTTCTTTTTGTTTTGGTTTTTTGAGTTGACTTTTGATTTTCCGTCAGCTTAGGGCTTCTGATTGATTGGAAATTTATTTGCTTTTGACAATTATCAGCCTAATACCAGTATCTGTTGTTTTTTTTTTTTTTGTTTTTCGCTAGGATTTGTATGTATGCATATGTGTGTATGCCTGAGAGAGAGAAGAGTGAGTGAAGTAAATGATTTTCTAATGATATACATATATTATTGTCGAATTATTTTATATGGCTTCTTTATACAATTTGAAATTTCTGGAGTATGTATTGGATTGAAATATCTCGAGTATGTCAATTTTTTGGATTGATTAATTAATTCCAGAAACAGATGAGGATTTAGAAGTAGCGGATAACACTCTTTCAAAACGAGAATATTTCTATAGATATGTAGATTTCTGGTGGAAAGATAAAATTAACACTTTGCCCTGTTCTAATTTCCTCCCCTGTTTCTGGATTTTTCCCCTTTTGGTACCTGAAACGTAGGCAGATTTATGTATTAATTTTTCTTTCTGTTCTTAAGAGCTGTGTTATGTGGTATTTTGTTGTATAACAGTTATAGTGTGTTTTGCGCTGTCCTTTTCTTTTTCTTCTAAAAAAATTTGTTTGTGATTGTTCATTGATGTGGACGTGTTAAATTTATCAGGCAGGCAAAAGATGTCGTAAAAGCTGTAAAGAGACGTTTGCAGCATAAGAGCTCCAAAGTTCAATTTCTAGCCTTGACGGTAATTTTTTACTGAAATCCTTTTATCTTCTTCACCTTCCAATTTGAACCATCTGCATGCTTTTTTTATATTTAAATGTCAGATATGGAACCGTTTCGTTACTTTTGGTTAATTGTGTGCTATATTTCGTAGCTTTTGGAGACAATGGTGAAGAACTGTGGTGATTATGTCCATGTTCAAATTGCAGAGAGAAATATACTAGGCGAGATGGTCAAAATTGTCAGAAAGAAGGTAAGTCTTGAAGATGTAGTTGTCTGGCAGAGTATTGTGAGCTATAAACCCATTTTGGTTCTGTTTTAATTTTTTTAAAGCTTAGTGTTTAGGTTAGTTTTATTTTCATCCGTCGCTGGAGCTGTTTTTTCATTTCTTTTCATCTTCCTTTCATGATGGCATTCTTTGATGAAATTTGTTGACCTGCTGATTCTTTTAAACCTTGGACTCTGACCTGTACGGTTTCTTTGAGCGTGTGATTCTGTATAGTCTTGCAAGTACTTTTATTTAGGGTGTGTGTGTTTGGTATTAGTATGATTAGGCTCAAGTGGCCTGTTCATAGTGGTCTTCAAGGCCTCCCTATGTCTTAGATAAATTTGGGTGTTGTGAATTTAAACACAAAGGAGTTTGATGACGTGTTTGCAATGTCCTAATGTACTCTAGTCATGCTTTTTTGACATTTGTTCTATGCATGACTTTTGTACTGCATCTTTTTTTTCTTTTTTTTTGGGTACTGTTTGTATGTGGGGTGCATCAAAGCCTCTTCTCTTTGTTCAGCATTATTGGTCACAGAACCTTCATTTCCTAAGTGATGAGCATATTCTTTTCATTACTCTGACTATTTGACTCTAATCCGTCTTGTTAGTTTTTCTTTCCCGTTCTGTATTTCCCTTCCATCTCACTTTAAAACGTATATATGGATGGAATATCAGGCAGATATGCAGGTGAGGGAAAAAATCTTAATATTGCTGGACTGTTGGCAAGAGGCATTTGGTGGGCCTGGAGGAAAACATCCTCAGTACTACTGGGCATGCGAAGAACTAAGGGTATAAGTTTAGCTATCTCGTTCAGCTTTTTATGTTTAATGATAATGTGCTTCCAATTTTGACATTGACAATTAAAGGGCAATACCAAATCAAGATAGTGAATATAATCAGAGACATATGTAGTGCAGTACCCCAATGTATTAGAACCTCTTAAGTGCAATCTCAGAGATGTCTTTGATGGATGCACCCCCTCTTTTTGCAGTTATTTCTTTGAGTAATGCTACACTTACCACATTTTTATCCCACATTTTTATACCACATGATGTGGCGTGTCCATATTATATGCCACATCAATTAAATCAATGAAGTGTATTTTAATTAAGACAATTAGAAAAAAAAAATACTGGAATAAATCATAAAAGAAAAGAAAATATTAAATAATTTTAATTGATGTGGCTATCCACCTCAGCTGTCACATAAGATGGTATAGGGATGTGGTATACAAATGTGGTAAGAGTAGCATTGTTCTATTTCTTTATGTCTGAAAGAGCATGGTAATTAAAAAAATGGAAATTCTTCTGTATGAAGAGATGTTATTTAATAACCATGCACTGCATGAATGACAGCGTTCTGGAGTAGAATTTCCCAAGCATTCATTAGAAGCACCTGCAATTTTTACACCGCCCGTTACACAGACAACATTGAGACATGCTCAAGCAGGATATGGAATGCCTAGCAATTCCTCAAGAAGGCTTGATGAAACGATGGCTACAGAAATGGAGAATTTAAGGTGAGAGTTGGACTCTGTTGTCGATTCCCTACTGGTTTCTACTGTTTCTCCGGTTCTTCATTTCTTAGAGCTCTTGTTTAGGATTGCTTTAAAACATCTATCTTCTGTTCATTCCTCAGTCTGATTTTTTTTTTCCTTTTAATAATTATAGTTTGTCAAGCCTGGATTCTATGAGGAATGTTATGGAGCTTTTAAGTGACATGCTGCAAGCTGTGAACCCTAGTGACCGTATGGTATGAGGAGCAATTAATATTTTCAACTTTTTTCCTCGCAACTGATGGGTAAGATATTTACCTTTCGTTTCTGTGTTTGTAGGCCATAAAAGATGAGGTGATAGTCGATCTTGTCAACCGATGTCGTGCCAACCAGAAAAAACTGATGCAGATGCTAACTACAACTGGGTTAGTCTCCTGCAAACATCCTTCTGGCAGAACCCAATGGTTTTGTGCGTTCATATGATGAAGATCATTACTCACTCAAGTGTTACGTTTCATGTGCTGTTACTCCTATATATTTTTTATGTAGAAGTGCGTATGTGTGCAAGTGCACGAGTGGTAAATATTTAACATTACCTTTTTGGGTAACGTGCAGAGATGAAGAACTTCTTGCTCGAGGTCTCGATTTAAATGATGGTCTGCAAAGTTTGCTTGCAAAACATGATGCCATTGTTTCTGGTTTGCCTGTGCCAACTCAAGCTACAAATGTCAGTCCCCAGCCAACTGAAAAGTCTCTGTCCAGTTCCAAGCAGACTGAAGTAAAAGACTCCAGCGCAAGTGACTCTAGTCCAAAACCTAATACTAATCCATCTGCACTAGTTGGTACCATGACAAGGGTCCAGATTTATGAAGACGAAGAAGAGGAAGATGAATTTGCACAGCTAGCTCGAAGGTTGCGTATGACTGGCCATCTTTTTCTGTTTTCTATTTTCTTATTCATAGGTCATAAAAATGCATTTCTTATGCCAGCGCTTTCCACAACTGCCCAGTGGGGTGCAGTTTCATCTCCTGGCCCATTTTAATTCATTAGTAATTTCCAGTTTGTGATTTACGGATAACTGTCATTACCATTGGATGTTGCATAAAAGCACTTATGGTATACCCAGTATCTGGCTTAAGCTTATAATTTGGTGAAAAAGTTCATTCATAGGTGTTGCACTTGTTTTATGGATGCAGGCATATTAAACCACGCGCAATACCTCCTCAAAACACATCTAGTGGCAGTGATGATGGTTTAGCGCTGGTGAGCACCAGCAGCACAATAAATCCATCTTCCACAACAGCTACATCTGTCCCGAGCAATGCATTAGCTCTGCCTGATCCACCAGCACAAGTTAAGACTACAAAAGAGCAGGATATGATCGACCTATTAAGTATCACTTTATCAACAACAGCTGCCTCCCCTGACACCACCCCTCATGCCCCAGCATCTAACCCTCAGGCTGCTCCATCCAACGGCAACATGCATCAGGTACCTGTTTCCGCCAGTGTACAAGGGAATCCCTATCCTTCACAACCTTATCCTGGAAATCTTGGGATGGCGTCCCAAAACAGCTATGTTGTTCCTTGGGCACAACCTCAACCCCAACTCCAACTCCAACAACAGTTCCGGCCACAGTTACAACCTCAAACACAGCCTCAATTCCAGTCACAATTTCAACCTCAAACACAGCCTCAATTCCAGTCACAATTTCAACCTCAATACTCGTCTGGCTACCCCCCTCCACCATGGGCAGCCACACCTGGTTATTCTAACAACCAAAACCATTTGTCCGCCAATAATACGTTTTCAACTCCTCGGGCCAATGCAACCACATCTTATATGCCGGCACAAGGAGCTAGACCTCTGCAGCATTTTAATTCGTTTCCTGCAAGGGGAATCAATGGGTCAGATAACAATGGAGGTTTCCCAGTGATCCCTGGTCCTAGGAGCCCTGCCCCTGCAGCAGGACAAAAGCCCTTTGTTCCCTCATACCGATTATTTGAAGATCTGAATGTGTTTGGCAATGCAGATGGAAAGTTTAAGATGACAAACAGCAACACGTCGTCTAGCTTGTCTGGGACTGCCGGCCAAGGTATGGTGGGTGGGAGGAAGTGAAGTACTGGCCTACGAGTTTCAAACCGGGATATAATAGCTATATATGTGTATATCTTTGTATATCAGTATCTGCATCTTCTTCCAGTTTGGGATGTACTCGAAGTTGGTTTAGATTGATACGCTCGTAGCTTATCAGTTGTCATTGATCACCAATTATGTGTGTAGGGTTTCAGAAGAATCATTGCCTCTTAAAGACTTTGTAGCATTTTGCTTCATAATCTGTGGATTTTCATTATTGCGAAGTGAACTCTGAAGCCTTAATTAATCCCTCAGAATGTTTACAAATTCTGATCAATCTGAATCTGATGAGAAACTTAGTCCATCGTTGGAAACTTTTCTGAGGGCAATGTTGTTCAGAATCAAGTCGTTGTGGCTGAACCATCGACAAACACCATGGTGGTGCGAGAGTTCAGCTATATTTGGAGCATTTCGATTGTTCATTTCATTTTTCACTTTTATTACTTTAAACACCATGGCGTTGAATGCCACATGATTCAAAGCATTATACCACGACGCAAATTAAGATGATCTTATAGTTGCTCTCTTTATTTACAACAATTAAGACGGTCTTAATCAATGGCTGAAATACAGAAAACCCAGAAGCCAGATTCGATAAAGGCTGGTAAAAAGACAAGGGAGGAGGAGATGCCAACTCAAACAAATTGATGAATTAATTACAAGTTACATGATGGTTAATTAAACGGCAAAGCGACTCACAAATTCAACAGATTACAAGATGCGCAATCGCGAGTCTGTTTAATCCCCATGTCTTGCAACACTAAGATTATGACCATTAAACTGTGTTGCTCTTACAAATTGAACAAGGGGATGGGAATAAAAATGAACACACCAAAATGAGGAACTATATAAAAAAACAGAAAAAGGGAAGTTTATTTACACGCATTTACCCTATATAACAGATTATTTTCCAGAGCCCCGAATAAATATGCAGGAAATTATTCCCCACAATTGTGACCATCTACACCTGAGGCTAATGAATACCATCATAGCATACAGCATCATCGGTAGACAGCACCCTACCAAAGCTTCCAGACCCAACAGCCCATTGACACCGAAAAGGAATTGGGCAGCGGAATATATTATCACACAATGGAGCAGATGCACCGAATGATCTGCAACGGCAAGATTGCATTTGAAGTCCATCCACTTGCACTGCCTTCCAATATGAAAGAAACCCTTATCGAATCAATGAGGAAATAACTAGCATTCTCATCTAGCTTGAGAGTTGTCGTCAGCATAGATGGATGCGCAAGCATCTGCAGCACCAGCAGCAAGCAGCACTTCATAGGGATGGAAGGCTAAGCAACTGACAGGACCAATCTTTTGGGCCATAAAGGAAGGGTAGTATCTTATGGTGCCTAATTGTTCGCCCTCCAAACTAAAGACTTTTATGAGTTGTTTGGCTGATCCACTGGCAATGATGGGGGCATGTCTATGAACAGCTAAAGCTGTCAGTGAACCCCTGTGAGCTTCAATTGTCAGGTAGGCCTCCCTGTCATTTCTGATATCAAGGAACTGAATGTCACCTGCCTGAGATGCACTTACAATCTGGATGAAGACAAGAATTTCATGTAAGTTTCACTTTCACAAGAATGAATGTAAGAGCTGCAATAGTAAATGGATGATCTAGGATTAACTTCAAAATGAAAAACAAGGATCTCCACTTACCTTAGCAGGATCAAGCCCAGGCTGAAAGCCAATCCCCACAACTCTTTCAACCTTCTGAGTGTGTGGTCGCGTTGCACAGACAAGCCTAACATTTACAAACGCACAAGATTAAAGCAGTCTCTTATGCAAATTGTTAATATCACATCAAGACAAGAAAGTAAAATCAAGAGCTAAAGCTCAAACCCTGCAGCATATTATTATTCATTTGCTAGTAGTTGTAGTGTTTTCATAAACATCATAGCGAGTATAATTTAAACATCAGGCAGAATTCCATGACTAATATTTGCATCTTGCCAGAAGAAGATATCAAGAGCTTACATTTCAGGAGTTCGCACATCATAGAGTCTAACAGAACCGTCTACAAAACCAGCTGCAAGTTGTCCCCCATGAACTTGAGAAGCAGACTACACAAGAGACAGCAATTATTACATTATTCATTTTCTGCATCCAGCATATTACATAACTAAGAAAATCAATAACTTCAAAAGCATTCCTAATTTAATCAAAGAATCAATTACAAATCCCTTGTATGGACTACGAGATACGGATATAATTCTCATTAAGCAAAAGTGATACAACTACAGTTGTAAATAAAAATCAAAAGTAAGGGGGTAAAGACTCACCAGCGCTGAGATGCTACAATCTGATGAAGAAGGAATAGAATTCACAAGCTGCTCTTTATCCAGATCCCAAAGCATAATGGACGATATCTCACCAGAAGCATACTAGCAACCATAACAAATGGCAAAGTAATAGAAACAATTATTTACAACAACAAAAAAGAATAAGCAAACCAAAACAAACGTGTCCTACAGCCCTGACTGATTGCATCTTAAAGAAAGCAAGTACCAGATATCCTGATTGCTGTTGCCAATCTACAACAGCATTCAAACTTCGCACGCCAGGTTTATGACCTTGAATTGAAGAAAATGCAGTAACAAGCTTCTGTCTACCCTTCAAAGTATAATCTTTCCAAATTCGAATGTTTCCATCACCTAATTATATGACCGCAGAAAAGGTGCAAATAAATCAGAAAAATTCAATAATAGCCCAACCTGACTAAGAAGCTAAGATTTCTGTAGTATAGAATATTACTTGAAGCAGCAAGAAGCAAGCTGTCATCAAGCTCATTCACAAGGCAGAGCTTGGAGATTCCTTTGTCAGGAAAATCATGGTTATCAAAGCTGTTGAGAAGGGTAGCCTCCTTAGCCTCTTGGTAATTCCATACCCTATAATAAATAAACACCAAAATGTTAACACATCATCAGATTTATACTGGACTCTGGACTGAGAGTAATCAATAAATTCTAGCAAAGAAAGCTTTGCAAATTAAGCAACATGAACCAAATTCACACATGCATGAACCCATTTTCAAGCAAGAATTACCCTAAACCCAAACATAACCTTATGGTTTGAAGGAAAGAAACACTAATAGGCCATTTCTTTTTTCAAACGAGATAGGAATCCTCCATATGTCATGGAAAATTAAAATGCCCGAACCAGAAGGGCGCAAGAGTGACACACTACACGACTAAGGAAAATATTGATAGTGTGATACACTATTCAACCAAGGAAGAGATTGATAGACATCCCAAGTTGAAAAGAAATCTCTTCTTTTATCACATAGAAAGGCAAAATGAAGGAAAAACGTATATTATATAACATACAAACCAGAAAGAAAGTACCATTGTACTCAATGGGCACTCAGTATCATACAAACCAGCACAGTTGTATTTGTTTGTGCTAGTGTATCAGGAAGAACCAAGAAAAAAGTAAGCCTTACTATTTCACAAACACACCAATGCACACTATCTGACAAAATCAAGCCATACATCACATAACATTTAAAGCTGCTGAAAATTTGACCAAGTGAGAACCTACACACCTGATTCGTTCATTCTCGTCTGCTGCAATTACAATAGGAGAAAATGGTTCCAGCAAGATTGTTTTTGTACCCGTCTCAAATTTTGTGTCCCAGCTAGCAATTTGATTGTTAAGTTTGCTAACAGCTGGTCAAGAACATGGAAGATTCATTAATTCCATAAACAAAGGCTAATACAAAGAATTTAATGAAAATAATTGGTGAAAAAACAAAAGGAGAATTAGAGAAGAAAACGAACACGAGTGCTGGCATTTAGCAATGTGCTCCAAGGCAAATTTTTCTCTCTCCTCTCTTCTGGTTAATATTTCTTTACTGTCATCTGCGGCAATGAGAAGGGGCTTGGAGAAGTGCCCACAACTCCAATTGTAGATTGTTGATTGTGGAGGAACACTGCGTTCTGAGGCGCCAGAAGTTCCCCCAGAACCTAAAAGCGGATCGGCTAATCCAGAATCTGGACTCATTAGATGAGGCCTGAACTCTAAAGAATAAACTCTCCGCATTCCAGTCAAGTAATTTGGCCGAGGAGGGCTGACAGGAGGAGTTCGGAATGTTAAAGGCAAATGACCTGTCAATAACAGTGCTCAACTAAAGAACTAAAACTGGAAGTGCAAAAATAGTTTAAATTGACAAAATAATAGCATGCATGGAAACATCAAATGGAGCTAAATGTCAAGCAAAAATATAACTAGCAGCATTCAGCTTATTAACTGGTCCCTGCAATTAATAGAAAAAGGGCAATGAATGATAGCAAGTGATTCCCGCATAGTTTTCATCAGAATATCATTACCTCCATTCATATCAAACCACGAAGAAGATCGAGCTAATCCAGGAGATGCTGTAATGGATTCACCAGGTCGAACACTGTTATTACTGGACTTTACAGGTTTTGCCACCACTTGTTCAATTCCTATAATGGCCAATACCTGCCGACCAAGGCTTGCAATGCGTGGAGATGGGTCCTTCGCTAAGGTACACATAGCCAATACACACTGAGAATACATTGCATTGTCCAGGGGTTTTGGTGTTGAAAGGTTAACACCACCATTGCTCACACCATCATTTAATATTCCAGAATCAGAATGCTGAGATGAATCGTCAGACAATGGAGATCCATGCATAATTCCAGAACTCGCAAGGGGGCTGCTGGTGGAGACTCTTCCATCTCGAACAACCAATGAGTTATCATTGGTCACTCTCAAAAGTGGACCAATTTGAGATGAAACAACACTACCTTTAATATGAGACAAAGAGGACAAGGAATTCAGAAGAGAACTGGATTGTGGTTTCCAATATGCAGCAGCAATTGACTTGAGGTGCTTGTTGTGGCCAAAGGCGAAGCGTCCCAGAGCTGACAAGATGAAGAGGAAACCATATTCAACTATAATTCCTACTTGAATTTTTTTTATTACTATTTAAAGTTCAGGGCACC